TTTTCAGTCTCCTTTTCTTTTGACGTTGACATGTTCTCACAACATACATACATACAGCCAGGTGACTCTGTGTATATATTTACTTAGACCAGACGATGTTTGACCATGCTGCAGCTATTGTCTTTTGATTTACATTAATCCTAATCCATTAATGCACATGCTCCCATGTCCACATAGCATACCAAGCCTAGAGTGAACATGAAAGTCCGTTAGGCTTTGCCTCTAAGGTTTGTGTCTCAGTGTTTACAGAGGCCATGCTCTCTGAAATATAGGAAAGGTCCATTTGAAGTGATGACAACTGTCTGAAATGGACTGCGAAATTATGTCCAGGCATTCTGCACTGATGATGACCTTAGGAAATTGCATGCAAATCTGAATCAGTCAGTGGTTTAAAAATTAAAAGAAGTAAGACAGTATGAATAGAATTACTTCCTAGTTAATGTCAATATTTTAATCTGCACATAAAAAACACAACAAAAGCCAGATCAGTTCGAAGATTTCGGAAGACATTTCTTATGTCTTTATTCGGTAAAGCAAATGCAGTTAAGATTGTTTTACCTGCAGAACTTCTTGACAAATCTTTCTTTAGAACGTGCTTCACTTCAGAATGGTTCATCTCAGGGTAAGGAGCTTGTACTACCTAATTGCGGGCTTTAATATGCTGGGCTGTGAATGTCAACTCTCTTTTCCTGCTGGTTGGATGACCCTGCAGGGCAGTGTGCACATTGCTCATTATATTGGTCTGGTCATTATGTCTCCATTAGGCTTTGAAAATGATGTTGTAGATAAAAATCTCCATTTTTCCTAGATACAATGTAGATCTGGAAACACTTTAAACTCAGAAAGGTGCCTGTTGAGCCACCTGTATGGCAAATCCCTGCGTTACTCTTTAGAATATAAATGGGGCCTAGTGAGAGAATTCAGACAGATAACATCCAGAGACCTCTGCATTAAAAGGATATTTAAGTTGTTTGAATGACTGTAGGGAAGATGCAGATTCAGTGGAATCGTGTCTTTACATATCTCCAGATAAGAAACCGTGCTTGCGTGATAAAAATCTATACAAGAAAGAGAATGGAAAGGAAAAGCCAAATCACAAAGATCCTCATGGCCTGCTATCAACAACATTATGTCTATTTCAGGCATGTTCTGCCATGCCTCCATCTATCAATAACCCGGAGCACTGCATGGAAATGAAAATACACAAAAGCTCTTTTCCTCTGAGAGAGGATGACTCTCTTCTCCTTTCAATGGAGCTAAGACACATTGCATTAGAGTCATTGAGACCAAGCTGGGTGTAAATGGGCGTGCATAGTGTGTGGAAGGCAGGATGGAAGGATCCAGGGAAAAAGGGATAGAGTGAGTGAGAGAAAGAGAGGGAGAGATATGCCTGTACTTCCTCTCCGCCCATTCTTTAATGCTCACTGAGTAGCCCCGCAGTGCAGGCTTTGTCCCAGTCATTGTCACAGGCTTAGAGAGCCTCTTTGCCAAGTGAGAGGCTTTGGCGACATATGTCACTTCAGTGAGTCTGCTGTCGCTCCTTTAGCCGCTTGAGTGGAGGGGCGGGCAGGGAGGCGTGCCCGCCCCTGCAGGGGAGGTACAACGTGGGGTTGAGGAGGAAGGACATGTGAGAGATGTTGGTTCAGAGAGAGTTGTTGGAATGATCCCTTGATGTCCTGTCCTGTACTTTTTTTTATGGACTTGTAGTGCAGCTGCCTTGGGCCTCAGCTAGAGGTGGACTTAAGATGTAGCATGACTCAAAAATCAGTAAGTAATGGTTACTTCATGAACAGTGTGCTGTCATTAGTCCCTTTCTGTACTTGCTGTGTCATGTATTTGAGTAGAATAACGTGTGCACAGATATCTGCATTACTTTGCAGTGTTTACTTTGTAGCTGGACATTGATAGTCTATAGGGAAGCTGGTTTGTCTAAGGGAGAAGTCTGAGTTTAAAGAAAGGGAGGGGGTCAGTGCATACAGAGTTGGCAAGGATTAGTCTTGTAGTAGTCACACTTTTAGTGCCCTGGCCAACTATTGGCTTAGGAAACACAATCCCTGCGGATTTGCGGCTATGATCTGCCATGTGTTCAGGTAATAGATCCCTCAGCTCCCAAAACAAATGCTTTGTTATCTGTTTACATAGGGACTCCACCCCATTTTACACTCCAGAGATTTTGCCTTTTGAATGGACCTGTCAGCTTTGTTTGAGTTGTCATTAAAGTGGCAGGTTTACAGTTCTCCACATGCAAATAAAATTTTGTAATCTGCCTAACCCACAAGGTTCCTTGGGTGTGCATCAGGCAGTGGATTTGCTGCACATGAATGAGAGTTGCCAGTTTGGTTGTTGCCGTGTTGCCAGGATCAGCACAAATCTGGATAAAAGATCCTACCTCTCATGTTACTGGTGGACTGTGGGCCTTCTACCTTGGCATGCTCTGCTGGGCTGATGGTTTGCTGTCTGTGATTTAAATCACAACACTGTCACTCACTCACTCACTCACTCACTCACTCACTCACTCAAGTTTTCACGTATGCCTGTACAGTAGTGCTGAAGGTAGGGCTGGGCAATGTATCGGCAGGATAGTGATACCTTGAAACTAGATACGGTCTTGGATTTTGAGTTTGGTTATATTGCAAGTGTTGTTATTTTGTTTGTTGCATTACAGTAAAGTGATGTCATTTTCTGAACTTATTTCCCTTTACCCATCTAGTCATCATTTCCTCATTACTGGTGATTTAAAAAAAAAATAAAAAATCTCATTGTGTAAATATTTTGTGAAAGCACCAATATTCAACCTTACAATATGGCTGCAATTTTATGTTGAGGTATTTGGGAATTTTTTTTTGCCACATTTGATTTTCTCTATATCGCCCAGCCCTTGCAATAGTTGGTCTCAAATGCAAAGCTATATTTGTTGCACATGTGGGCACGTGTGTGTGCCTCTCTGTGTGAATCAAACGGTATTATACTGTACATTAGCTCCAGACTGAGAATGAGAGAGCCTCACAGCTTTATTACTACATGAAAATGTGTGTTTACTCCACTGGAACAAACATCTAACCAGCTTTGTTTACCATTCAATCCGGTGGAAGATAATCACAAAAAGTCCTTATAGCAAATAACACTCCACCACAGTCTCTCAATTTGTTTAATTGATTCTAAATTCAAGCAGCTTAATCCTGCATCTAGTCTATAACAATTACCACATTAACCTTTCTTGCTAAGAAGGGACAACACATGCAGCTTTGCGTCCTTAGAAGAACCCTGAGTAGGACTCAGTCATTGTTAAGCAGCGTACTGTATGACTGCCGGAGCTCCCCGCCTTCATTCTCTGGTAGCAGGATTAGCTAGAGGGTGAACCCATTTGGCATCGCCAGTGCTGCCGCCACAGTCTCAGCACTGTGAGAACTAAGCCGTGAAATACTGACGGGCTTAGACCAATTTATAGTCTGCCATCTTGGATCTAGTGATCGTAGCAGACAGCAGCTTTATGCCAGTTGGGTTTACTGTAAGCATGCCATGCGATGCCACCAGCCAGGCTTTATAGTTCAAGGGGTAATCTCCAGACAAGTGCTGTGCTGTGTTGTGTTACGACACCACAACAATGAGGGACAACTAACGCTAAATAGCTTGCATCCTCAATGGGACATTTTGCATACATACACATGATTAGAATTGATGAAAGTAAAAATCAAGAAGTTTAAATATTTAATTTGAAATGATTTAGTCCATTGCTTTCTATTATTCCTTTGTGACTGCTCAGCCTTTTAGTGCTAAGACTTCAAATCCATTCAATAAATGCCCTTTAGGTAATCCACATTTACTTGCAAAACATCATGAAGAACATTATTCTTACCCCTAGGCTCAGAATATTTGAGAGAAAATTATAAAAAAAAACAGAACAGAGGGAATCATTAATATATTTTAATTGAGATTATCATAGGAAAAAAAACAATGCAAAGTGTATGGGTTTGACAGGTTTTTATGTTGTCAGAACTTTTTTTTGTATTTGCCTTCTGGTTTTCATTACTTTCTCTTGGCAGTCAGCCATGTTATAAAGTGAGCTGTTTTCAGCAATGCTACCTTAAGTCTGATTATTCACAGCCCATTTAGAGCAAAGCAACCCTCCTTCCCATTTAATGCTGCTTCTCTGTGATTAGGAGAGATGCCTGTTGCTCTTATTTTACCATTGTTGGTCAAACTGTTGTTTTTCCCCAAGATGATGTCGTCAATTTATGACATTTATTTTTGAGGCGCTTCTGCGTCGATGCTAGCCTCGGTTAAAGGCATGATGTTTTCAAATTGTCCGTCCATCACATGCTCTTGAATGCGATATCTCACTAATGCCATCAGGGAAATTCTTCAAAATTTGGCACAAACGTCCACCTGGACTCAATGATGAACTCATTAGATTTTGGTGGTCAAAGGTCAGAGGTCAAGGTCACTGTGACCTTGTCTGTCTTATTCTTGTGAAGGCCCTATCTCAAGGATACCCTGAGGGAATTTCCTTAAATTTGGTACGAACGTCCACTTTGACTCAACGAGTCTGATTAGGATAAGGTGGTGAAAGGTCAAGGTCACTGTGACCTCACAAAACAGGTTTTTGACCGTGACTCAAGAATTCATTCGCTTATTAAGACAACATTTCAAAGGAATGTCTAATTATGTGATGAAATTTTATATCCAAAAGGTCAAAGGTCAACTTCACTGTGACATTAAATGTTCTGGCCATCAGGTACAGAAGGGGAGACATTTGGTTAGGTACTGAATTGGTGACCCTTCTCTTTGGTGTCTACCTGAAACTGGGCTGAAGATGTGTGTGAAGCATCCATGTTTTAGAATAAGCAGTCTCTTTGCAGGAACGTCCATATTTGAAGCATTGTCTATGGTCATTGCTACATATGAATCTGGACAGACATGGGTGTAAACTGTAACTGCAACTTGACTGATTTGCAAAGTAGTAATTCTAGTTCAAAACAATCTCACTCTGACTCTTCCAGGTCCTCTGTGCCTTACAAATCCCAAGTGACACCAGCTGATCCGCATCAACACATTCTCCTGATCTTTACTGTCTCCATTAACCAGTGGAGGGTGATGAGGTTGGTGGGGAGCCTGCAGTTTGTCCTGCTTTTGGCCTTGACCTCCACAGCCACAGGCCTCAACATCCCTCTTGAAGGTAGGAGTGTCATGAGGCCAGTTAAGGTCATACTTATGTAATCAGTACTTAAACTCCAGTAAAGATAAAGTTGACGTACAAGGTTTGGTTGCTCAGTTTGTAATCTTTAATTTTCTCTGTCTGTTCTACATTCGTCAAAAATTGTTTAAGTCACAAGTGTTTGTAGAAAAAGGTTTCGTGTCTCTCTCTTGTTTAGGGCTATGAATGCATTGCAGTCAGGTCCTGGTGTGATGTTTTAGTTCAGTGTCTATCTAAGGCACCTTATTTGTCCAGATTATAGTGTTGTTGGATGACAGCTTTGCCATGTTACTGACTTCTCAGCTTCATACAGGGCAGTAGGAAAGAACAGGAATAAAAACAGCTGTATTTTCTTTTTGCAGAGTGATCTTATAACAGAAATCTAATCATCAATGTCAACATTTAGCACTTTTGTGATCATTTTGTGTGTATGTGTCTTCATATTATAGTGGAGCAGCCTCCAACCATAATAAACCACACATCTGGTCCCATTATTGCTCTTCCTTTTGACAACACTGTTGCTATCAGGTGTGAAGCCAGAGGCAACCCACCACCAAAGTAAGTGACATCAACATGATCGCTGTCATAATAACTGACTAAAGATGAACAGTAACAAAATATCCTAGCTTTCATCTGTGCCACATAATACTCTGTATATCAGTGACTGACTGATGGAAACCTACTGTATATTTTGCTCCAACAGATACAGATGGACAAAAGATGGCAAAGACTTTGTCCCTCCCTATGTCATGATAGATCGCACAGACGGCACTTTTGTGCTTCACAAGAAACACCTCGACCAGTTTCAGGGTAAATTCAGATGCTACGCCTCTAACAAGCTGGGAACTGCCATGACAGAGGAGATTGAACTACGAGTCCCTAGTGAGTAGCCTTTACATAAGAAGCTCATCCATCACCTGACATTGCTGACTAATGCTTTTCAAAGTCACCATATAAGTGAATTTCCTTCCTTCCTAATGTCTGCTTTTTTGACTAGGTGTCCCAAAGTTCCCAAAGGAGAATAATTCCCCCCTTATTGTTAAGGAGGGAGATCCAATCATCCTGGAGTGTAACCCTCCAGAAGGCGTGGCCCCACGTCAGATCTACTGGATGTCTCTTGGTAAGCCAAAAACAACTTTTTATGCTTTTGATTTTTATGGTGGGAATGTCGATTGTTGATTGATTGACCCCCCCCCCCCCACACACACACACACACACACAGAAAACAAATGAAGATTCCTCTTTATTCACCCCCTTTATTGCCATACTGTATGTATGTGTGTATGTTTCTCAAGTGACCTTGAGAAATGTCTTGATCAAAAGGTATAGCAGAGGTAAATGTTATGTTATGTTAAGGTTATGTGTGGGAATTTCCCTTTGCTTTCTGTGAGCAAACAAATACAAGCTCTATCAAGCTGAAAACAATGTAACCCTCTTATTCAACACTCTTTTTTTGCACAGGCAGTTTACTGATAATCCCTGTCTTGACTCAACTTGAATAAAAATCCAGAGTCCTCTTTGTCCTCTCCTGACACCCCTCCTAAGTCCAAGACCTGATCTTGAGTACTACAATACTGTGCCCATGTCATTGGCCTACCACTGTGCAGGGTTCTCAGGTGGGACAGTGTGAATAGAGTGAAGGTCTGTCAGGAGTCACACCTTCCTGATGTTTCTCACAAAAGAAGTAGCTGTTGAAACCATGTGCTTTGGAAGAGGCACATGGCTGCCCTCACCCTCCGCTGGCCATCAGTAAAGTTAGCAGTGACAGTAAGAAGGACAGTCAAGGAAAATTGCACTCTTGAGGCACACAACTTTCTTCCCACCACTGCCAAAGAAAGCGATTTACTGTGTAAGAAGTCACCTCAGTTCTGTCTGAAGTGCTTTGTCAATAGGGGCTGAGTTTTGTGTCCAACCCCTTGAGAGCTCCTCATCCGCCTCCAACAGACCTGACTGATGTCAGAAAGAGAAACAGTTTTTTAGGTGCTGAGGTGGATGGGGCCTTGAGGCATGGAGCAGAGTGAATGAAAACACTTGTGCACAATTCTTATTTAAAATTGTGTTTAAAATCTTTGTTTTTTATTTACTCTAAGTCACATATCTATATTTCCAGGGATTGTCACATATATGTCACATTGATTTACGCACATGACAAAAGACACTTTGATGTCTGAAAAATGCAACCACATCAAAGGAAACAGCGACGATCTCCACTCCCACCAGAACATTGTGCTCTCTGCATGCACTCCACGTGCATTAGCCGGAAAAATATCTTTCACTTTCTATTAGTGGCACGTAACATAAATCAGAACTGAACATGTTTTATAAGTTTGCCTTGAACATTGACTAAACAACCAATGACTTAAGGCTATGCCTTAAATGAAGCTGTTAAGTACTGGGAATTGGGTGACACAGAGCGTCACTGACCCGTAACTTAAATAATGGCTCTATGTAAACCAAATACGCTGTCACAGTGCACTTATGAGTCCACCGGCTCTATAAAAAGAAACTCTTCAGGCTGTTTCCATTAAAGTGTAGTGTATATGAGGCTCCACTGTATTGGAATCTGCCAACATTTAACCTGAGTCTCATAATGAGGTCTTTTTTGCAATAATTTCTACCTTTTACTCTTTCTTTTGGTGCACCTGATGGATATATTTTAGCCAATAATTAATCTCAAAAACAGACACTGTCTACATTGACAGCATATCACTGATACCAATATGCTCTTTTCCAGGTCTCCAGCACATTGAGCAGGATGAGAGGGTTTCCATGGGCATTGATGGCAACCTGTACTTCTCTAATGCCTTACAGAAAGACAGTCGTCCAGACTACTGTTGCTTTGCTGCCTTCTCCAAAATACGTACCATCGTCCAGAAAACCGCCATGGCTGTCGTGGTTAAGAGCTGTAGGTTTACAAAACAGTCTGTGTGGCTTTAACCAAAATATAGCCAGCTGTGCTACGGTAGCTAACTTGTCAAAGGAGCTGTATGCGACATTCAGAATGTAACTATGATTAAGAGTTTGTCTGCACACTATTAGCTTGGAGGTGGCTGAGCTGGTAATGGTGCTAACAACAGCAACAGTGCTGACAGAGCTAACTGTGTTAACCAGGGGAAACTGGAGGGTGCAGGCTACGCTGCTATGCCACTGCGAGCCTAATATCAGTGGTAACCAATGTATGAGCGCAGTGCAGAGGTGCGGCATTTAGCTAGCCAGTGGGATACACACATCAGACTCACATGCACTAACATGCACACATGGCCAAACCATTTACTGGAACAATAAACAGAGAAGCTGGGATTACAACACACACAGAGGTGGCGAGGTGACTTCATTCTCTGCTCAGGTCTCCATCACTACACTTTATCTTTTCATAGCAAATGATGGTGTGTTGCCACTAATGTTCTGAGTGTCGCATACATATCCTTGTTTCATGACATCAAGGACAGATCTCTGAGAAGTGAGAAGAAAATGTCACGTATCCAGGTATTTTTACTGATAACAGCTGATACATTCCTCTTCTTCAAACCAAGAAGCAGGGCTTGCCTTGTCATGTTTATGCTCCAGGAAACCTGCGACTCTGAATTGAGCAATACATATTGGTGAGGACAAACCATCACTACCAGTATCATTCTCACTCAGTTTTGTTTTTTCTTCCAGTGAAAGCTGGCAATGACAGCAGCAATGCCAGTAAGTAATACTCACACATCAAAGCTTTCTCAGTGTAAATCAAAACACCTCTTGTCATGTGAACAGGCCACATAGCTGCAGATAACAGATTGATTGTCAACCTGTGTGTAGATTATTTGATGTTTGATTTAAATTGTGTATATGACTGAAGAAGACCATTCTCTATGTATTCAATGCAGCTGTAGCCCCCCCAGCGAGATTACCTGACCTGCTGCTGCCCTCTGGTGTTCAGACAGTGAAGGTGCTGTTGAAGGGGGAGAATCTGCACCTTGAGTGTCTACCACAGGGATAGTATGTATTCATGTTGTAGCATCACATTATCACTACATTTATTATCATATTTATCTGCCATTGCGAATCATAACATGTTGTTTCATGCCATAGTCCCACTCCGATCGTAACATGGATGAAAATGGGAGACAACCTGCCTCCACGGACAAAATATGCCAACTTTGGAAAGCTGTTGACCATATCTGCTGTGGACGGGAGGGATCAGGGGAGATACATGTGCACAGCCCAAAACTATGCTGGAAAGGCTGTCCACTACTTTGATGTGATAGTGGAAGGTAGGAGCTAATCATGCATGTATTTGTGGGTGAAAACCGTTGACACAGAGATGGCAGTGTCTTTTTTTTGACTCAGACCAACATGGGTCTTCTTAACATCTCCCAGAGCCGCCAAAGTGGCTGACAGAGCCTCCTCAGAGCCAGCTGACCGTGATTGGGTCTGATGTTCACATCAAGTGCTCAGTCAGTGGAAAACCACCTCCAGACATAACATGGAGGAGGAATGGAGAAATTTTCAGAGGTGAGTGGGAATAATGCCAGCTGTGGTTTTTATGCATCTTTTGCCACTGGGCAGGAGGACAGCGCAGCGAGCAGATACACCAAACTTCAACCACATGAGTTCAAGCTGACAAGCAGCTGTTCTGATAAGCGTTCTTGAAAGCTCGTTAGACAGGCTTGATTGCTTGACAGGGGGATAATTTGTACATTTACACAATTAAGAATACAGATTACACTAAATAAACGTATAAATTTGTACCTTTAAAAAGCAATAGTGGCTTTGTCTTTAATGATCATCAGTACATGTAAGAATAGTTCTGTAATGTCTTGTTGCAGAGGGGTATGGGTGAGAATTATGTGTTGTAATTAAATATCTCTGCAGGGAACAGTCATACAGGAGTGGTGTTGTAGCTTCATACTGTAAATGTTTTAAAGGATTTTACTGTATTCTTACAATTATTTTCTCAGTAGTACCTGTGTTTTTGTTTAAGTTATAATTTTAAAATAAGCAAATTTCCACTGAATTTTACTTTTCAATATTTACCATTATCTTATATTTACTGTCACACTGTCTTTATGTGAAGTGTGTGTGTAAAAAAAAAAGGGTTTTATTTTGAGTATCAGTTCATCTACTGCTTATTTTTCTCTGTTAAATGATTCATCACTTGTCAGAAAAGTAGAAAAAAGTTCATAACAATTTCCTGACACAGAAAAGAAGAAAATCTTTTTTTAAAACCAAAAAATGCTTAATAAATGAGTCATACAATTGACTGATTATCCCAGTTGCTGCCAATTTCTTGTCTGACAGATCGATCATCACATTATTTCAGCTCTACTTTTATCTGATTTTTTAAACTTCTTAAATATTAACAGCACTGTTAGCCTAGAAATTATTAGTTGTGCTTTTGTGCAGTCCCTGTGAAATATTTTTGACGTCATGTTTTCATGTCTTCACGTTGCTGTCAGACGACCCAAACAGCAACAGGCGAGTGTTTGACGACACTGTGGTCCTCCATAACGCTGTTGCAGAGGACAGCGCTGTCTACCAGTGTGAAGCCTCCAACAGTCATGGCAGCGTTCTGGCCAACATTAATATCTTGGTCATGAGTGAGTACCTTGCACAGCCAGCGCGGACATAGTTACTACCTAATAAACACAGTGGCCACTTTGTCAGCTTTACACCTGGCTCTGGGAAATGATGTGTAGTGTGTGTTGGCTCAATACCATACCATTTCACAGTCCCTTCAGATTTGAGGTGGTTCATTCTCTACAAACATTATTTCATCTGATTTCAAACGTTCTCATGGCCCATTATCATCCTGGAAGCATTTGTCTCAGGTTAGGTAATAAGCATGACAGACACTGCCTGTGCATTGTTCATCACCCAACTCTACTGTCCTCTATTTATTATAGTACTCTTTAGAAGTTATTTGGCTGCATTATAATTTGCTTGTTACTCACTCATTCACATTTCGCAATTTTGTTGTCCAGTATATGTGAGTCACAGTCTGGAGGAGTAGATGTTAAGTCAAATTGAAGTTTATCAAAAAAAGAAGGCTGCATACAGTACAGAGAGCGTCACCCCTCGCTGGCCTCTTTCATCTGAGACTGTGACTCAGTCTCAACAATCTATCATTCAGCATTTCTTTTCATCTCTTTATCTAAAAAACTGACATTCTAACATTAATGAGTATCTACTACAGTGCATGATGCATTTACGATCTGAACAAAGTTGATTTTTTAAACAAGATATTTTTATTGGCAATTCAATAAAGGTGATGCGAGGTGCAGCAAAGGGTTGCAAGCCGGAGTCGAGCTCGCAACCGCTGCAGTGAAGCTTCACCTCTGTACATGGGGCGCCGGCACTATTCACTAAGCTACCGACGCTCCTAAATGAAATAGTTTATGAGAAATTTGTTTGCATACAAAAAAAACCCCTACAACTCCCTGGAAAATTTGTCAACACTGCAGCGATGCTTCTGCCATCATGACACAGTTGTTTTTCATGATATCCACAAAGAATCTCCGTTCATCATTTTTCTAACATTTCAGCAGTAATCTCTACCATACAGTTCTGTCATCTCTGTCTTGCTGTTATTATTTATAGCCAGTTAATGCAGTGGTTCCCAACTGGTCCAGCCACGGGGGCCAGATGTCTCCTCAGTCACTGGTTCAAGGTCCACACATTTTATTATTTTCAGCGTCATATATGCATTTGTTGCCAAGCAAATTTGCTGCCTCTATGAAGTAACTGTCACTTATTCACTCATTCTACAGCAAGAAACACTTCAAATTAAAAGCTCCGTGCTAGAAATCCACTGTACTTCAAAATAAAGTGTGTTTTTCACAAACTCGACACATTCCCTAGTCACTCACCACTGAATTAATGTATTGTTTAATTGTTATTTAGTTGTTTAAAAAAAGCTCATCACAATTTCCCAGAGCCAACGTTTGCATATTAAGATTGCTTGTATTGTCCAATCAGTGGTCCAAAGCTCAAAGATATTAAGTTTACAATCACAGAAGACTTAAAAAACAGCACTTATTCACATTTAAGTGGATTGAACTAGCCAATATTTGGCATTTTTGCGAACCAGAATTACTTCATACTGACAGACATATTTGGTCACTTGATTAATGCGAGTTAGTCTGCTAAAAACAGTAATATTAAATAAACAATTATATATCTAGACATGAACTGAAGACACAACATACCGTTGAGCACCTTTATGTTCCTAGATTTTTAGCAATTTGCACTTTTACAAATGTCAATGGGATTTTGAAGGAGGTTTTCTTATTTTGGCACTTGAGCTCTATAAGAAATCTTACATTTCCTGAAGTGTTACAAGAGGTGTGATGCTTGTGCCTGCATCTGAATTATATCTGTGTTTTCAGTCATCTGCTCTTCAGTTCCTATTTCTTGTGAAAAAATTCTCATGGGTAGCGACTTGACATTTGAGCAGCTATAATCTCTCCTCCCTCCCCCTCGCCCGTAGATATGGCTCCTCGGATACTGACAGGGGACTACCAAGAGTACGCTGTAGTGCTAGGAGGGAACATCACCATGAACTGCAGTGTTTTTGGCTCTCCACCACCCACCATCTTCTGGTAAGTGATTACTAGGAAGAACAGGTATATTAGTCTGGGTGACATGCGTCAGTGAGGAGTTTCACAACATTTTTACACATGATGTTAAAACAGAGGAACTTCACACCTCCATTCAGTGTGATGTTTTCCTCAGATAACAGTTCACTGAAAAATAAACCAGATCCCACAATCCCACACTGCTTCAGTTGTCTGCATGACTTAGATGTTGACATTTATGTCTGTTTAATGAGATCATCCTCTTCCGTTCCTTGAGCTTGGGCTAATTAAACCTATTAGCTATCACTGCAGCTCTGCTACACTTCTACAGAGAGAAAATGGGATCTCAGACAGTTAATGACAAAACACTCTTAACTTTGCGAAGAAACTCAGAATACTAAGATACTTCAATCTTCTTATTCTATTAGATGATGACACACTTTTTGTAAAGGAGTTAGCAAATTCCAATTATATTCAAATTCAGAGGAAAAAAATAATTACAGCAAAATAATATCCTGAAGATGATTTACTATAAAATCCTTCCCTGAAATTGTGAAAATTAAACAGGCATCATTTACATGGCTCAAATTTGATACTACCATACTTGGTTGTTAAAAACTCAGACTGAAATTGTTGCACCTTAATTGGCAAGCTCAGTTTGTACTCCTGCTGTCGGATAACTTGTACACACATGCTGAAGTAGGTGTGAAAACTTTCTCTCCCAGGGCCAGAGACAAGTCTCCAGAAACCATCGAGGGGGAGCGATTTTTTGCTCTGGGCGGATCTTTGCGAATCATCAGTGCAGAGAAAATCGACAGTGGGAAATACGTGTGTGTTGCCTCTAACGCGGAGGGCAAGTCGGCCATCACTGCTGTGCTGGATGTGAAAGGTATCTCAGCAACACGATGAGTGCTTTCTTTAAGCAGCGGTAATACTTGTCCCTGCACACGATTATTCATTAATCATTATTCAAGGGCCAGCTTACCCAAACGACAAACAGTTTTAAAATCTTTCTATCTGCTCGGCTAGACGAGGGTTGGAGGAAAAGTTGTTCTTGTTTAGTTGTTCAATAGAAGGCTTTGGCTTCAGTTTAACAGCTGAAAGGCTGAATACTTCTTTTTTTTCAACACACTGCAGTGATTGATCACGTAGTTAAAAACCAGGTGGTCTGTCTCTGTTTGGTCCTTTGAAACATGCTCGTGCTGAACAGCCAATAAATATCTCAGCATCTAGACTTGAAATTCATCTCTCATTGATGTTGTGAAGAGATGCAGCATAAATAATAATGTGGGGGAACATATTTAGAAATATTTTTTTCCATGGACATTTCATACATGCAAATCACCGAGCAAATTTATTGAGCAATATCATTACATTTCCATTTTGATTACTCATTTCACAAATCAAAGAGGCAGTTACCACGAGAGAGGCTCATTTATACAGTAAATAATTTGGCTCAATTCAAATATTCACATCTTATTTGAGGCATGCAGGAATTATGAATAATTATTTTGTCTGGCCGCAGCCTAACAAGACAAATAACATTATCTTATCTGCTTAATGTATGTGCTTTTTTTTTTTTTAATCTTTAGACCCTACAAAAATAGTGTTTCCACCTCAGGACATGCAGATCGTCAGTGGGCGCACAGCCCAGTTGATGTGCCAGGCAGAGTATGATAAAAGCCTGCGGGGTAGCTTTGAGGTGGTGTGGAGGAAGGATGGTGAGGAGATCCCACTTTCCTTTGAGGGAAATTCCAGGTAGGTGGCTGTGGTTTGATAGTGTTTTCCTTCCGTTTAAAGGTGTGTTTTTGTGTTAGATGGTTTTGCTCAGTGTCTTTATTTCTATGCAGTGATAAGGAAGAAATAATGCATGAAAAGTCCCAAAAGCTTTGTGCCTTATCCTGCTCAGTAGAGGGTCAAAGACAGGGGATTCTGCTGGGCTTCTGTCTGCTTAAAGGTTCTGTATGCAACATTAAAGGCATCAATACAGTAGCAGTAACCACTGTTTGCTATGTAAAGATATAGTGGAGTAATGGCGTCCTGAACAGAGGATGAAGTCACGCTCCCTCTGTGTGTGTTGTAATCAGAGCTAATCTGTGGTTTGTTGTGGTAGCCGGTCCGGCAGCGCAGCGCATGAATGCGTCTGTCATTGATGTCATGATAAAAGGATCTGTATGCGACATTTTGAAAATTGGCAGCAAAAACTATTTGCTTTGTAAAGGCATAGTGTAGTGACAGTGTCCTGAGCAGAGAAGTCACGCAACCTCTGTGTGTGTTAGTGCATGTGAGTCTGGTTTGTGTATCCAACTGGCTAGCTCATATTCATATGGTGGTCACCGCTGATATCTGCCCACCCTCTGGTTCCCACCACTTAACGCAGCTCTGTCGGCACTGCTGCCATAGTTAAGTACTGTTAATGCAGGTGACACCGTTAGCTGCTGGCAGCCAGCTCAGCCACTTCCGTATTGAGAACTGTGTCCAAGCAACTCATACACTCTCAGTATCGCCTAGAGCCCCTTTGATGAACTGACTGATTACTGCCAAGGATGCTATATTTTTATCTATCTCGTCATTAGTATTTTTTACCTTATTAAAATCAGTAACAATGTGTGCAGGATGGTGCAGCTTTGGCACACTGTATATGCTCATTTATGGTTGATTGAAATCATATTCCAGCTATGTACTAACTAATGTGCCCATGTGTTCAGATACGCTGTGGACGATGACATGCTGCAGATCATGAACGTGAACCTGAGCGATCAGGGAGTATACACATGCATTGCTAGAACCAGCCTAGATGAGGACAGCGCCACTGCACTTTTCACCGTGCTCGGTAAGATATTATTTTTCTTTTATTTTAAAAATATAGAACATAAATAATTATTGATTAAACATTCAGAGTGTTTAAACCCCACCAGGTGTTTTGGATATTAAATTGACAGCTGCTATTGAGCATTTAATGTTACAGTATGTATTTTTCTTGTTGTTGCAGATGTTCCCGATGCCCCCCAAAAAGTGAAGATATCTGACCTTGAGAGTCCGACAAACATTAGCCTGACTTGGGTACCTGGAAGTGATCACAACAGCTCTGTAACAGGTAGACGTTAATGCAGAAAAAAATAGAACATCTGGGGCCAAGCTTAGGAGTGATTTAGGAAAGTTGTCAGAGCACCTCTGAGCAGGGAAGGGACAGAAACTTTTACCTTAGTGAGGATGTGTGGTTGACCCTGTTTCTAGGTATGAGGCTTTGTTTTGACAGATGTGATTGGTTGTCACAGACACACCCTTTTGTGAGCCTGCAGGGTGTGGACACCCAGTGGAAATGAAATGAACTGCATCACAATATGAGACTGAAAGTGTTGTCTTTTTGTTAGTGTGATCTAGTCATCACTGCTGCACTGTTGCATTAATTCCAGTTTTCCACGTATCTTAGTGTTGTGATTATTTTGTTTCTGGCGTTATAGTTTTATTTTGTTGGGTTGGAAATGTGTGTGTATCCCTAATGAGATCAACCACAAACATTATTACTGCACCATCTAATCTGTTGCATTTCATTTACTCACAATTATCCAGTGTTTGGAGAATATTCCTCCGACCCAGTTGTGTTTCCACCATTTTCTTCTCTGCTTAAGAAACTCTTAAGCCTCCTAAAAGTTCCTCCTGCCTGTTCCTAACAGTTTTCACCTTAGGAGCTCTTTTGATGGTTAACAGGGCTAACTCTGTGAATAACTTTTATCTTTACTAGGCTCTAATCTCAATTTTAAGGGGAAATTTTTAGAAAACGTCACAATTTTAAGAATTTCCGTCACTAGGAACAACTCTTAGCATGAAGAAGCTTTGTGAATATGGCCCCTGAAGTCTGAAAGACATGATAGTAGTGCTAGATAACGTAACAAAGAAACATTTACTCAGAGATCATCAGCAGTTGCTTGTCTAACTGTGTACTGTTGTGACTGTTAGTTGTTAGTTGACTGTTACATAAGTTTGCAGCCAACACAATGATGTAATTACTTTGTAATTATGATGTAAATTCAAAATAATTAGTGAGGACATTAGGCGTGTGGGCCCTTGCCAACTGTAGCCGTCCCTATGACACACCCAGGATGACCAAATATAATAGAATACAATAGGACGGAATAGATTCCAACTTTATTGCTCAACCACAACAGGAAGATGTTCTTCACTCACCACGGAGACAGTAAATGACATTGTAGTATAAAGATAATAGTACATAAACAAAGTATTTACATGCACACTGCCCAGCGGCCTGGCACTTCCAGCTGATGTTGCTCAGTGACTGCTGTGTGGATAAAAGCGCTCACGCAGAAATAGGTTGAACTGTATCACTCTGCAACTGTAAAAACTTGATTCCAGTTGTTCTTTGATGCAAGTCCTAATTCAGATACTCTACAGTTGCCATGTCTCCTCTGAGAGTTAACAGAATCTGCTGCTGTGATCACTGTTGAGTGCTAACTAAAGTTCTTTAACAAGCAATGGCTGCAAATAGCTGTGAAGTGCTGAGGATCCTGGCAGGGAAGCTTGTGTCTCATTTATTCTTCAAAAAGGGACTCATTTATTTTTGGAACGTAGCGATGATAAGAATTCACATCAGTTGGTAAATGTGTCCTTGTAGTGTTTATTAGCTTTGATGTGTGTTGTCTCTGATCAGAAATTACAACAGACAGGCGCGAAGAATATCCTTTGTTAGGCTGAAATGTGCAGTCATTTTATTTGTTTAATTAAACATCTTGGAGCCACAGACATCAGTTGTGGGGCCAGCTCTCTTCTAAATGATATCTGTGGATCATTTTGGCTCAGCACCAGGTGGATGTGTGTGTGGAAATATTAATTTAATATTGTTAATTTGCCATGGAAATTGCCAAAAGCTATGGCTGTGCCTGAAACTATTCCCTTGTTTGCACGTTTATTATTCCCACATGATAAACAGTCTTTTTTTTCACTTAGCAAGTAGTGAACTGAGATTTTAGACACTGAGGAATGATTTTAATTTTCATCACATTTACAGATGTAGTGAGGCATGACGAAATTACACATCTGTCATTTCAGGGACAATTGCATTACATGCTTTTGGGAATTTTTGGCAAAAATTAGAATAATTAATTGATTAATTTTTGGCCACTTGGGGGCAGCTGAAACAAGTTGTGAACATCACAGACATAGAACCTTTTACTCTGCAGTCATGTTCAGTTCAATTTTATTTACAAAGCCCAAATTCACAAATAACAGTTTGACTCAGAGGGCTTCACAGCACGCGACATTGCTCTGTGGTTGGACCCTCAGAGTAGATAGGGAAAAACTTCCCCAAAAAACACCTTTAACAGGGAAAAAAGGTAGAAACCTCAGGAAGAGCAACTGAGGAGGGATCCCTCTTCCAGGACGGAAAGACGTGCAATAGATGTTGTGTGCACAGATCAGCATAATGAAATTATAGTAATCCGTATTACATGCGGTGTCGAAATAATCAGACAAATGAGTTTCCCACCAGGTAAACTGAACATCCCATCAAGTTGGAACAAGTTGGAACAACTCGTTATGTAGGTGAAAATATTGGTACATGGCTTGCCAAGATCATGTCATGTTATGCAGAAACATGGCGTACAGAAGTAAATATTTGGTTGATGTTGAAAAACTTTTATTGCATATAATTCTTTACTCACGTAATTTGTAATATAGCATTAGGTTGTAACTGTTAGTTATTGTCCTTGTAGAGTGACTCAGATTAATCAGAAAAAATATTCATTAGCATTAAATCTGATACCAAGTTGGGTAAAGCAATATTTTAGTGGTTTTAGGGATTGTAGGTTACTGGTGCAGCAACAAGTCTGGTGCAAAAATACCACTGTAGCATAAAGCTTCTAACTGCTTCAGCGTACTTAGATAGCACCACAAATCTTCACTGGGATGTTAAACGCTCAATTAAATACAACTCACCTTTTTAGTAGCATCCATGTTGCTTCCACGTTACTACTTAAAAAGCTCATGAATGCACAGAGTCAGAAAAAATGACTTCCCAGCATGTGAAATGGGACCATCCGAGGAGTGCCTGAATGCAGCATTAAGTTGAGATGGTAGATTTATTAGCCAACAGCTGCTTATTTACCCATCCAGTTACAGAGCTAAATTATCATTAATTTACAGTCATGTTTCTGGCCACCTGTCCAATATTCAGTCTTTTAGCTCTGTTTTTGGTCTCTACCAACTCCAGAGGGAAATATCTGTATCTTTAGCTGCTAAATGCTCCGCTATGTTTACCCTCTAGTTGCTAACTGTGCTTGTCTGCTGTTTGTTGCTGAGCAGGTAGCGCACAGTGAGTTTTTAGAGCTTTTTAGCTTGGCCACAGCTGCTTGCTGTGGCCAAAGGTGACACCATGAGAGTGGTGAGAGTGCATCAGAACATTAATATTATGGGCCGGACAGCTAAACTATAAGCGGAAACTTATTTTAAAGCTCTGTTAAACTGAGTGGAGCTGCAGATTCAGGTGATAATTGTCTGCAGAATAATCACCATGAGCCTTTCACAATGTTGTTTTCGGGAATTTCACATTTTTTCTAAAGAGTTAGATGAGATCAATATCGCTCTGGTGTCTGTACATTCAGTACAAACCAGGAGACGGGAATTAGCTTTGCATAAAGATTGTAAGCAGGAGGAAACAGCCAGCCTTGTTTTCTCCAAGGTTAAAAAAATCTGCCCACCCCTTAAGGTGTATGCTAAGCTAACCTAAAAGCCCCTGACTATAGCATTGTACTGCAAGCATGGATCTGAGAGTCCTCTCTTTACTGTTATCACAATACTGGTATTTCTAACTTTGATACAGTTCCTTGAAAAATACAATATTTGACACCATTTCTAATAGAAAAGAGAAATTAACATTGAGGGCATAGAATAAAAAAAGTATTAAAAGATAAATATTGCTGGGCCATATTATGACAACAGTGACTTTTCTTTTCTTTGTTACTAGAGAGCAGCAGCATGACTGCAGTAAATATTAACAACGGGAGAGAGTGAGAAAACACAGCTGTTACCGGGGTATTGACACTGTGGAAAGAGTGTTGAAACTGTTTCACATATTCAGAAACAATATGTTTCGATAAATAGATATTTTTTACAACACCACTCTCTTCTAACTCTCAGATAGAAATTATCATCAGTGGTATGCTGATGACTGATGCATCTCCTGTCTCCTCCATGAGCACAGAATTTATAGTGGAGTTCGAGGAGAGCCATTGGGAGCCCGGCAGGTGGAAGGAGCTCCAGAAAGTCCCCGGTAACCAGGCAACAGCTGAGCTGGCACTACATGGACACCTTAACTACCAGTTCAGAGTGTATGCTGTTAATGCTGTTGGACCTGGACCCCCCAGTGAGCCCACTGAGAGATACAAAACACCCCCTGCTGGTGAGGCTCGCTCCCTTTAATTAACATGTTCTGCTGTGGTTATCTGGTGATTGTGAGAGCACGCAAAGTTTTAGCATTTCTTTTGAAATGTGCACGGAGTTGCTGTGTGGAAAGAGGCCAGCCTTTGGCCACAGGACTTGGTAGCAGTAGGGGGTGTGGATATTTTTGGGTCTGAGACACCCTTAAAGTTGCCAAGTGTTTGCTTCAGTACATGTTGTTGCTTAATCTTGGCTCTCATCTGAATCTGCTTGTGCATGAAGTGAGGATACTTGTAGTGCAATTGCCAAAGAGTCTGTTGTATCTGCACATATGCATTTGTATTGTATAGTATAGTATTTTATTCAGTCATCACAGAAACAGCCTTATTATTAACACGTATGACTCGTTTTCTTAGGCAGACTATTGAATTTGTAGTCGTTTTAAAGGTCGACCCTCACAGTTCCACACAAGATATACACCGATCAGCCAAAACATTAAAATCACAGACAAGTGAAGTGATCAACATTGATCATCTTGTTACAATGCCATGTTCTGTTGGGAAACCATTGGCTCTGACATTTGTGTGGTTGCCACCAGACATGCTCCACCCACCTAAACACCAGTGCAGACCAGGTACCCCCTCCATGGCAGTGGCACTCCCCAGTAGCAGTGGCCCCCAGCAGGACAGCGTGCCATCCCACACCACAAAAACTGCTCAGGAATGGCCCAAGGAATGTGACAAAGAGCTCAAGGTGTCTCCAAATTCCCCAGATCCCAATCCGATCCCACAGGACTCAAAAAACTAAAGCTAATGCCCTGATGTCTGATACTATAGGACACCCCTCAGAGGTCCTGTGTTCATGCCTTGACAGGTCAGAGCCAAGTCCGGTCCACTGTGGGTACCTCTGGGGTACCAGCACGTCCCTCAAATGTTGGATCAGATTGGGATCTGGGGACTATGGAGGCCAGGTCAACATCTTGAGCTCTTTGTCCCGTTCCTCATGTCATTCCTGAGCAGTTTTCATGGTGTGGCAGCTGCAATGGTTTTCGGGTGGGTGAATGCAAGGACCCAAGGTTTCCCAATGAAATACTGCACTGTAGCAAGATGATCAATGCTGTTAACTTCACCCACCAATGGTTTTAATGTTTTGGCTGATCAGTGTATGTGGAAGTATAAGTGAGCAATAAACTATATACAAGGCTTCATAGATTTGCATTTTAGAAAAAATAGTAAGATGAATTTCTTTGTGATATTTTTTCATTAATAAATGCACGATTACACAACTTCTCTTTAAAGCTCCTGAAAGAAACCCGGAAAACATCAGAATTCAAGGCCATCTTCCTCATCAAATGGACATTAGCTGGGAGGTAAGAGAAAGAGCACATCAATCTACAAGATTGTGCACTGGAGACCAATATAGTATGGAAGCATTCCTTTAGATTTCTTAGTCATCAGTACACTCTCCTGTTGTAGCCGCTGCTGCCTATTGAACAGAATGGCCCGGGCCTCGAGTACAAGGTGAGCTACAGGAAACTGGGGGTGGAGGATGTCTGGAGGGAGCATCTGGTCAAAAGGCACTCCTTTGTCGTGAGAAACACGTCCACGTTTGTCCCCTACGAGATCAAAATACAGAGCAGGAACAGTTACGGCTGGGGACCTGATCCTAAAGTGGTTACTGGTTACTCTGGAGAAGATGGTGAGTTACAGACGTAATACTTCTACTGTATATTTGCATGTCATTCATTTATTAAATTAAAAATTATTTCAATTTTTATGCAACTCACTTCTCTCTTTCATTAAAATGTATCCTAAGGCTGAACTTGCACTTGTAGGTGTTGCTTTGCCTGTGACTTACTGTGAACTTCTTGTGTTATCGTATCCCACCCTGTCTTCAGTCGTCTTTTGGCATTGTCTGCGGGAAAATGTGTCAGGTTAAGTTCTTTCCTTTTTTCCTTTTGCCCATGGTTTTTAACCCCGTGCAGGTGTGCAGTAGTGACTTTTCCTCCCCTCTGCAAAAGCAAAAAAAAAAAAAGAAAAATAAGAAACACCTTTGCTGAATCCAGCAGGTGGCAGATAACCTTTGTAGAGCAGAGGGATGTCAAATTTCCACTTCTGTCTCAAACTGTGGGAGATTTGACAGATCACGACACACTTTTCGCTGTAGGCCTACTGAAGCACAATGACTGCTTCTCTCTCTAGTGTCTGCTGTGCTTCTATCCCTCCCTACTTCCAGTGCAGTCACATGTAGAGCAGAAAATATTGAGAGCCTTTTTATTTCATGTTTGGTGTTGTATTTGTCCTTGCTGAAAGAGGAAGGAAAAAAATTGATGCTGCGTCATTTGGTGTCCAGCTGAGTGTGTATTTGTGCACATTTGTGCTGATCTACCAGCATAACTGTTTTTATTTACCACTATAACTATAACTCTGCAAACAGGTTTTCATTTTATTTTCTTTATACATGCTTTATGGAAGTGTCTCTGCAAAGGGAGCCTGTTGTTTGAAGCGTGTCTGTATTCCTGACCTTCCTCTATGTGTTGTTTAGTCCCGACTGCAGCACCACGGGACATAGCAGTGGAAGTAATCAACACCACTGTTCTGAGAGTAAGCTGGACCCCGGCTCCACCTGCCACAGTGCGAGGTCATCTCGGGGGCTACGATGTAAGTTTTCATGGTCCGGAAACCTGATTTCTTTCAGACTATGTTGTATAGCTGAAGACTTTTGAGGGCAGCAGGTACAAAGAGGTAATTAGAGTCCAATTAGATCAGTCTTTACCCCTTTTCACTCACCTGTCATCAGTGTGTCATATCCAAAGACAGCTCCTCAGGAAACAGACACCACTCACTTTCAATTTTGTCTTTTACAAGTGCTCTTTTCAACCAAATACTGTAAGTGCAATGTTTTAATAGGCAGGATAGAGCTGAGACGGAGATACAAAAAATATTCACTATGTGATTCCACAACTGTGAATATTCTCCATTTTTAGGTGCTATATATTCTCCATTTTTAGGTGCTATATATCCCAGAGCCAGCCCTGATAGAAATATCTTTAAAAGCAAAGCTTCCATAACAGCCTGACTATGTAATGCTGATTATATAGGTGAACAGGACATATGGGTGACACATTGTCATTGCCTGTAAAGCATAAAATTCACACTTTTCTAAAAATAAAGATATGTCTCCTCAGTATGACAAATGTATAGCTGGTAGTGATATAGTCATTATAGTAATGAGCACACAAAGAAAGTTTATTCCCAGAAATTGTCGTACATTGTGAGGTTCACCCAACCCGATGCGTTTCTGTATTTCAAAGTCCGTTAATGTCCCTTTTCTGAACGATACATCTTTTCTGGTGGAATGATTTTGTCATTAGTCTGCTAAGAAACAGCAGCGCACCACCTGATGAACTCAACGATGAGATCCGTGCATGTGCTCACAGCGGCATTTGAGAAAAGTAGTTGAAGGAATATGACAAGACAGATGTTTCATTTCATTGATGTAAAATTTTAGAAACGGTTTTCATGTACAGTACATAATTCAATTTAAAGGTGCACTTAAATGTGGTTATATGATATAATAGGTACCTTTAGAAATCATGGCACATTTTCCCTTACCTCCATTGTGTCACCTGTGTAGCTGTTATCATTAAATGTATGTAGGTGTGACAGTGGTTAACAGCCTGACACTGACAACGTGATCGTGCATAGCAGCTCCTCTGTAACATGCCGTCACTTGAGGTGATTGATATACAAAGCTACACCTCAGCATCACAGTTCATATGTGATGTCTGATTTCAGATAGCTGCCTCATTAAAGGGGGGACCAGGCATTAATTGCTCCTCCTCAACATGTTCTATTTTCGCTGTTCTGTCCTACTCTGTCTCTTTCTTCCCTCCCTCCTCTCTGTGGTCTCTGTTCAGACTCGCTCCTCATCAGCATTTCCATTACTCCCCCCTCCCAGGTTCAGTGGTTGAGGAATCGAAGTTTGCTGAATCCCAACAAGATTTTAGATGAGCGCCACTCCCTGTCTTTTCCTGGGAAGAGGACTCATGCCATCGTGCCGGGCCTGGAACCTTTCTCTGAGTACAGGCTCACTGTCAACGTTTTTAACAAGAAGGGCAACGGGCCCAACAGTGACCCGGTCACCTTCAACACGTCAGAGGGAGGTGAGGTGACACAAACATACAGCACACAACATATGGGTGCTCTTGATACATCTTTAAATACTCGTGCCAAGTAGAAAAAAAAAATGCTTACGGTCTGGCATCTGGTCGCTACCTTGTCATTAAGTTCCGACCTCACCTGAGCGCTGTGTCCAGGAACGTTCTGAACAGCAAGATAAGAGAAAAAAAATTCAGGCAGAGGTCAGAGTCTCTGCAGATAAATACACCATCACACACTTCTAGTGTGCATTAGTGTGGTGGTAGTTGATTGGCAGGGTTCCCGCAGTCATGGAAAACCTGGAAAAGTTATGGAATTTGTAAAAATCATTGAAAGTTTTTGATAAGCTATGGAAAAAACGCCCAGCAAATTTACCAAGAAAAAAAAATCAAGGGTCCTTGAAAAGTCATAGAAAAGTTTTGAAATTTTGTCAATGAAAATGTATGAGAACCCTGGATTCGGTGGGTACCCTGCTTAGTAGATGGGAAGGTTACCCAGGAGGATGTGTGTATGCTCTGCTCTATATTCAAATGGCTTTTTGGCTGATAGGTGGGTTCACTGTAAACAGCCAGAAAAAGAGGTGTGGATGTGCAGTGTATACCTGCTGTATCCACCACTACACCACTGCTAGTGGGCCACAAGTGACTACTGAGAGGGATTACATTTATGTGAGTCTATACATAAATGTTTTAGGAAAATGTGGCATGTTTTACCTTTAAAGTGATGCCCTCAGTGATACAATGAATTCTAACAAAAGCACACATTTCATTTACAAAAATGTGTTTTGCTAATTGTTACTTCACCTGGAGGTTTGAGCATAATAAATGTGCAGAGTTTAAAACCAGAAGGATGTTTTGACTGTTTTCACATTCATCTGCTGAATGTGGAAAATGTCTCTGTGCTTACCTTAAATCTGGAATTTAAAGGAAATGGCAACTTTAGAATGAAAATACAGACAGTAGCCTACTTACTCAGCCTCATGCCGACAAGAAGTCCAGTGTAGTTTTTTAATCCACAGAATTTGTTCGGGGTATCCGAGGAAAACAGCTAGCCGGATTTTTCCATACACTTGAAGTGCATGGAACCCACATTTTGAAAATGTAATAAAACTCCGCTAGCTGTTATCCTCCAATATCCCAAATGAGTTTTGTGGATTAAAAAAAACTACACTGGACTTCTTGTCGACATGAGGGTGAGTAAGTACTGTCTGTATTTTCATTCTAAAGTGGCCATTTCCTTTAAGGTGTATACCTACAAGCATGATTTGTGACGCCACATACTTTGGAAATCAAGTGTGGTCCAGCATGCAACTAACAGACGTGTGATGCGGACACTTGAAACCTCTGATGCACATATACTGAGAATGGACTTTTTGGTTGTGTTCAGTAGTCAAACTCTAGCAACCAGGCAATTGAACTTTTTGTAGAAAAAAAAATATTGACACAAATTTTAACTAATTGATTATTAAATTAATTATTCTCTATGTGTTTTAAAGTATGTCCGAGAGTGAATTATTTGGTTTTTGGGGGAGACTGGTAGAAGATAAAGCAACTAAACTCAGTTGAGTAATGTAAGACTATTTGCTCAGCCTGCATACTACAGGTGTATATGTGTCACCATGGGTCTTGCATGTTAAGCAGATACTGGATGACTGTGGTTTGTCTCACCTCTGGTTCACACAAAAGTGCAGCAACATCAGCTGTCTGAAATAAAATGTTGAACAGAGGCTGAAGGATCAGGTCACGCAAACCGTGCATGCAAACTGTAGGAGTATCTGCTGCATGACAACCAAACGTACAGACAGGCTATATATAATTTTAGAAAATATAAAGGGCTGGTTAGAAACCAGAGGATCTGTAACCTCTGTAATGATAACTGCATATTTTGTTTGAATGTCGAGCTAAATAAATTACAGAGAAAGGTATTTACCAAAGAATTAAGCATGTTTAAATTGATTTTGTAATTGCAATCAGATAAACCCAAAAGTTCTTTTTAAATTAGGTGCTTTTTTTGAAGAATTTGAGACACATAAATGAATGAATGAAATAAAGTGACTGCAAGACAGCATTTAGTTTTAAGACAAGGAGACAGAGAAGAAGTTGTCAAAGATAGTTTCCAATGAAAACACTTTTCAAAGGCTGCTCAGTGTTAAAGCTGTGAAATGACAAAGCTGCTTAAAAAACAAACTGTCATACACTACATCAGTGTGTGTTTTATCTCTTTAACAAATAAGATAAGAGAGCTTAAAGCAGAGATAAACATCAAACATAAAGATGCTCAAAATGAGACATAGAAATCTTAACTTGTTGGCCAAAAACAGACTGGCACTGTGATGTAATATTTAACCACCTCATGATAAATAAATATGTCGACACAGTAGATGCATTAACATTATTGTCATTTTCATAGTTCCTGAGCAAGTGCCCATCCTGACCGCCTCCAACGCCCAGACAGACTCCATTTTGCTGGTATGGGGCCCACCGCTGCAGACAAACGGCATCCTCACCGGCTATCTCCTGCAGCACCACCTCAGTACGTACAGTGCACACACAACAGTGTTTGACTAATTACTCAGTGGCTCACACAGCGTAGACCTTTGGCCCTACACAAGGTTTTTCATTAATAGATTTCTCTTTTGCTGCAGCTCTGCTTTGTCTGTAGTGTGAGGCGCTGTGGGCGAAGTGTAAGCAGGAGTGTAGCTGCCGTGCAAGTAGGTGAAGGAAGATCAAGTCGGCGGGGAGGAAGTGTGGAGTGGGTGGATGTGGGATAAGACAGTTTATCTTTGAGTCTGAAGGTTTAATGCCCATTTAATAAACCTGAAAACATACAACATGCACATTCATCTACCCCCTATTTCCCCTCTCCTCTTTTGTGTTACCATACCAGACACTAGGTTGCACTGTTTAACACAGAACGCTCCACAATGGTCTGCAGCAGCACAACAGTACAGGCCACTTCAGATTGTAGTTTGACAGTTTCCTCAGTGTTTCTTATCTGGTATCCTCCTGGATTGCAGGTTCTCTTCCAAAAAGATCATTTCAGTCAGTGCTGTTTGTGCCTCTTATACAAATTTCTTTGGCATTTATCACCGAGAAGCATTTCGTCTTGCGAGAAATAAAAAAAATAAAAAATAAAAAAATAAAGAACACCTTTATGCTCGAGAACAGTTAGGGTGAAAAAGTGAGTGAGGGGCTTTCATTACGCTCTCTGTGTTTTCAAAGCCTACACTCTCGTTGGCTGACATTTCTGAAATCTTTTGTGTAAAATGTGAAGGCAGAGACAGCCCTTTGCCGCCTCCACCAGCACCCACGGAGTCTGGCCAGCTCTTCAATACACTCTGTCCCCCTCTCCTCTCTGCTTTTTCCCATATCAGATGTCAGACTTTACACAGATATACCCACACAATGCAGTCCGTGGGTGTTGGAGGTTTTTTCTTTTCCCAGTTGAATTGATTCACCAAGTAACTCCAGCTTATTTCAAATTTTGTTTTCTGTTAATTCCGTGATTAAATTTGACATTCCATAATACAGTACATGCACATCCTGTTGAAATGAAACTGCTGTGTAATTAGTCAATGAATATTTCTGACGGTGTTCACAAACACATGAAATATCCTGTATGCCGCGATGCAAACAAACATCAATTTTCCGAAGCGGCACCGCAGGCTTGGCACACATTCAGTTCTCACCTGCATTTCAACATTGGCACAGTAATGACATCAATGTGGGGGGTTTCAGGAGAACTGTGTTGCTTTCTACAGTCTGCTCACATACTGTACTTTGATCTATAATGCAAGTTTGGTGATACATTATGCTGCGTGTGATTGCTACTCCTCTGATTTCCTTCTACTGCGTCTGCCTTATGTTTAATTTTTCTTTTGTTTCTATGTCTTCACTCTGTTTTTTTTCTCCCACCTGTTCTTGTGTTTTTTTCTTCCCTTTACATAAGGGTTTTTTCGGCTTTTCCTTCATCACATCGCCTCAATTTCCTCCTCCTCCTGTAGTTCTTTCTCCTTCTCTCTCCCTATCCTCATCTTTTTATCCATTGCCACTTGTTTACACCCGCCCCCCAGCTCCTCTTGAGCTCTCTATCTCCCCCTTTCATCTCCTCTCCCCTTTCTTCGTAATGTATTCCTCCTCAGCTCACCTGTCACGACACGTATCTGCTATATTCACTTTCTGCATGAGCTAGCATGACATCTCTTCATCTTCCCCCTCCCTCAACCATTGACCCTCTTTATAGTTGTGTCCCATTAACATACAACACAGGCCAACAGCGATGACTTTTTTCTCTGCGTTGGTCCGTCAGAGGCTCACTCATGCTCCGTGAACTGACCTGACATCTTTCTCCTTCCTCTATAGTTAATGAGACCACACTGGAGGTGGTTGATTCCCAGGAGATGAACATCACTGGGGCTGACACCACCCAGTGGCAGCTCCAGGGCTTAGAGGAAGACAGCCTCTACCGCTTCCACCTCAGCGCTTGCACTCGAGCAGGTTGTGGACCTCCGCTGGCCCAGGAGAGCCACACCGTTCGTCAAGAACGTGAGTAGATGGGACCTGTGTACCTGTCGTGCTCGTGCGGCCGGTACAATATCACCTGCTTTGGCTTGGATATGAAAGTAGCACCACTTTTTAAAACATAGATTAGCACACTGCAGACATGGTAGCTGCAATGCAATAATGATTTATAAAAGTGGAGATAGTTACACTAATGGTTGATAATAATACACTTTATATAGCATCTGTCATACAAGAAATGCAGCACAAAGTGCTTTACAATAAGGGCAGTATAAGCACTGGATGTTTCACATGAAAATAGACATAATGGACATAAATCAGACAAGGCAATTTAATATAAAAGGACATTTAAAACAGTTTAAAACATGGATTCAGTGATTCATAAAATCATAGAGTTGTAAAACTATAAAGTTGCAGCAGTGTGAAGCGTAAATAGACAGTAAAAGTTAAAAAGAGATCGTTTCTGCAAAGTCAGAGCTAGTTAAAGTCTACAGTGAACAGATAGTCTAGCTTTCTTATAAGAATATTTAGCGAGCTAGCTTCCCTGATATCCATAGGTAGTGTGCTCCATAGCTTTGGGGCATAACTGACAAAAGCTGCATCCCCGATCTTCTTCCAGCTGTTGCTGGGATCCTCTAATAAACCAGCAGCAGATGATCACAGTGTTCTTGGAGGCAAATAGTCAACAAGGGAGTTAGCGGTGTAGCTCAGTCCCAGCCCATGTAGGGCTTTGTGTACAAGGAGGAGCTTTAAATCAATTCTAGATGTAACAGGAAGTCAGTGCAGAGCAGCTCCGACTGGCCTGATGTGCTCTCTCCTCTTGGTTCTGGTTAATAGCTGAGCTGCAGAGTTTTGAATGAGAAGTCTCTCGGTAGTGTTTTTTCTGGAGGCCAGAAAAAAGTGCATTACAGTAGTTGAGGCAGCTTGCAATAAAGGCATATATCAATTTCTCTGCATCTTTTTCATTCAGAAATGGTCGTACCTTGGCGATATTTCTGAGGTGGAAAAATTATGTTTTCGTCACCTTGTTAATGTGGGACCTGAAGCTTAGATCTGAATCAAGGATCACACCAAGACTTGTCACCTCAGATTTATTCCAGGGAGTTAAATTCCCCAGATTATTAAGCAGCATTTCTCTTTTTCTTTTTTCTTTAGGGCTGACAAGTAGAATAAATAAACGAAACAACATTATAAAGTTAAGGGTCATATTTTCACTACACTCTTATAGTGGCCAAAAGAATTCACAAAAATGACATTATTGTGATATCTAAGGAAAATTTTAAAATAACAATAATGCTGTTAGTCAGTTTCATCCTTAGCTTTGTTTATTGTGCATTATACCCTTTTTTGGTTGATGGTATATTGTGACCTAATGGGTAGTATCAGCCTTAAAGAACAGTTGTAAAATTTTGTCTGTGGCCCCTTGTAACCCCCTGATGATGTCATCAGGGTTATCAGGGCTTGGAAACTTTGTTTGTTTGTTTTACATAAAGGCTGTGTTACATATTTGCACCATGGACTTAAAAAAAGTGGGTGTTTGCAAGGCATGGAAGGTTAAATATAAGTCACTGTTAAGCTGCATTGTGGGAATTACAGTACAGTAGGATCCAGTGTTTTTGGAGCTCCACCTACATTAAATAAAATAGAGGATTTTTGGTCACCTGATGCAAAGATTTTGGTCTTTGTTACATTTTAATGCCCCTGGATTTTCACTTGATAAAAATGTTCCTTTAAAATGATAATAAACTATTACAAATGTGCCCATCACACAAATAACGTTCCAAGTGCTTTACAATGAGGAGAGACAATGAGCACAGAAAAAAAATGAAAAATGAAAAAATGATTAAGCCAAAACAAGCAGAAAGTAAAATCAGTAACAATGAAATCAGCAGCATAACATCAAGATTAGTTATGAGATTAAGATACTAATAGAGACGGGAGCATATCTTCATTATGTTTCAAGCTTTAAATGCTCAGTGAGATTGCTTCCCTACACTTGTAATGATGAATGCTTTCCCACAGTTTGCATATAAAAAGGTGCATCTCCGGTTTTCGCATGCCAATGGTTGTTTAACGTCCAGCAAACCTGCAGCAGAGGATTCAAGTGAACCTGAAGTCACATAAAACAACAGGGAGTGTGCAGTTTAAGCCAGTCCTGAGCCATTTAGAGCTTTTAATAAAAGCTAAAGGACTTTCTCTCAGACATTTTCTAAAAGATACCGGGAGCCAGTGTAGCCCATCTAAAACTGGAGTGCTGTGCTTCCCCTTTATAGTTTTGTTTTGAAGTCTAGCAGCAGAATTGTGTATAATTTTTATCCCCTAAATACCCTTTCACAGAAGACCAGTGAAGAGTTACAATAGTCTGCCTGAGATGAAAGCATGAATTAGCTTTGTGGCATCTTGCTATCTTAGGAGTGCCTGTACATTTCTGCAGTGTTTCTCACATTGTCTGAGATGTCGGCTTATACATAAACTTGATTAGATGAAAGAATGCTATTTTGGCCACTCTGCTGATGTGTGATTTAAAGCTTAGTTCGCATTCAAAGACACAGGCTTAAAGTATGACTTCTGAGTCGATCTGGGGAACCAGAGATCCAAGATTCTTGGACAGTGCATCTCTTTAGCCTCGGGGGCTATAGTAGGATGTTTTGTTTTTTCTTTGAGCCTTAGAGGGATATTATTAATCTATTATTTGACAGGATGAGAGTGAGATTAAGGCATTTTGTTAACCTGGCTCTCTGAAATAATCATGTGTCATCTGCATAGCTGTGAAAATTAACATTACACACCCTGAAGACGTCGACTAACAGAGGCATGGAAAGTGAGAATATCGTGCTCGAGATCAAAGAAGCTTCTCAGTGCTGCAACAAAAGAAGTGTCAGTTCCTGGACAAAAAAAACCAAAACAAACAAAAAAAAAGCTGTCAAGACATAAAACTTCCTGCCAGTGATGCACAAAACAAATCAGAAAAATATTTCTGATGGAAATGCCAGTGTTTTGACCAATTGTGTCAGGCATTGTGTCAGCATATAGATCCATGTCGACTGCTGTGTTTTGGTTTGTCCTGAAGTCTGACTGGAACTTCTCCAGTTTAGAAATCTGTTCAATATAACTTTCTAAGTTGCTTTTAAGAGAGAGGTTTAGGCCTGTAACTAATGAGAACCTTGTTGTTCATTTTTTGGGACTAACAACAGCACCAAAACTCTCTCATGAAACATTTTTATGATTTTAAGGAAATAATCTTGTTGTAGCTGAATCAAGACAACACATTGACAATTTACTCTCAAACTTAAACAGCTTTGAGGCAGAAAATAGTCTCATAATATACAGAGATTGTCATATTTCACTGCAGTTCCAACTTTAATGGCAACTATATTTTTTAACTACTTAGCAAATTTCTCTCTTACTGCAGCAAAGTCTGAAAAGTCTGAATGTCAGAGGTTAGGACAAGTTTTAACAGCCAATCTCTCTCAGAGAACAAAATACTGCTGGAGATGCCACTGTTTTCTCTGATTATCTCAGAAAAAATAGGCTCTCACTGCACGCAGCTTTATTATAAGTAGTTACAAGCTCTTAATAAATTAAACACGGACCTCCGACTTTTCAGCATTTCCTGTCAGTGGCTCGACGTGATCTCTTTCGCATTCGAATAGAGTTGATAAATCATGGCCATGTTCTGTCACATAAGCCTTTAATGACCTAGAGTGTTCATCAAGTTGTTGTTCAGGGTGTCAGCCATTTCACCCACAGGGTCGGTCTCACTGAGTAGATTAATGAGCTTATAAGTTCAGGGAACAAAACCTCTGCTGTAGCATCTCTGATCCTTTCCTGAATGGTGAAAAGTTGCCAGTTTTGAGCCAATACATACAAATCCTTCTTTGTTAAAACACTTATTGATTCAATCTAATATGTGATTATAACATTATTTAAAGAATTCTTCTTTTATTTGTTCCGTTATTGCCAGAAAAAAAAGACAATCCTGGTAAGACCTGGTGCAGTCTACTGTACCTGTTTCCTCCAGCATATAAATTCCACCACTAGGGGGTGTCAAAGCCAAAAATGTTCAAACTCCACACAGATGGTGGCTTTAATTTGTATCTTACATAAAGCAAAGCCATGCAGCTTCTGTCTATTTTAGTTTAGCTCACTGTTAACACTTAATTTAACACTTAATTCAGCCAATCTGGCTAGTATATTGACAACATTACCTGCCACCATTCAGTGTAGCAGGATTTGGCAGGTGTTTAATTTCAGCCCTGATGGTACACGATAAAAAAGTGAGTGCTAGAATTTTCCCAACAGTTCAAAGTTCCTAGTAAACTCCTCCTTCCATTACTCGGTGTGAACGCATGAGAAAATATGTTTCCACTATCTCTGAATGTTTTAATAAATGTTATTCATTCCTCTCTGGCGTTTATATTTCCTCTGAGAGGCTCTGTATCTTGTAGGTGAACGTCCAGCCTGAGAGCCATTAGATGCATTGTTTGTAAATATGGTTGAGTAGAGGCTCGGCGGGGAGATAAAATGGTTCTGTTTTGGAGCGCTGTCCTCGGGGCATGTTAGTCACAATGCAGCAGAGCAGATTTATGGATGCCAATAGCACCGAGCAGGGGCACCATGGATTTAGAGTTGTTGATGGGGAGTGATGGAGTGACAGTGAAAAGAATTAATGCATGCGAGTTAGTGAGCCCAGGCTATGAAGTGCTCCTTTTAGATTTCACCTTTATGACTGAATGAGCTTTTAATGCTTATCCCCATTTAGTCAGGATAAACAGTCGGCTAGCTTAAAAATCGCCTGGACAAACAGACTGACATATCAGAATAAAAAACAGCCATAGAGGTATCAGCAGATATGTGCCTTTGTTTGAAGAGGCTTGTAATGAAAAGAGAGTGGCTGAAGTGAGAGACGAAAAGGAAAAAAAAACACAGAGACGGATGGGGTGAAGCATCTGCGAGGAAGAGGAGCAGAGAAAACTGAGAGAGAACAGCTAATAGCCATACAGTGTGGCAGAAAGAGGAAGAAAAAATATCTATTTTTCTCCATCAGGTCTCATGAGATAACAAAGCAGCAGAGATAAAGCGGACTGCAAACATGACAAAAAGCACAGAAGAGCATATACCTCTTAAGTCATATAAAAATAACCAGCTCCTCCAGAGATTAAATTATTTGCTCCCTAGCATTTGAACACCCAAGTTGTTATCGCCGACATATTTGCCAATGGCTTGTACTCAGCGTTTGAAAAAGTTTAGTTAGAAACATGATCATCAAGAGCTGGCTCCGTCTGAGCTGCAGTCAGTTCGGGATTCAGCAGTCGGAGCAGAACAGGCAGTGTCATTTTTAATATATATGTTCAGGTTCACACTCGACAATGTGAGAAATAATACAGGCAGCAACATGCAAATTTTATGATGTGTCGGTGAGTCACAGGTAATAAAATAATTATTCCTGTGATTGAAAATTCAGTCCATGTAAAATCAGTGTACCTCTGGAGAATGACCAACTCGGTTCATCAGCCCGACAACAGAGTGAAAACTAGAAATATCTAACTATGTGACAAATCTCCTATAAGCTAATCCAAAACTAAAATTAAAAATAGTAGTTAAATATTCAGTCTTTAAATTCAGGTTAATCTGATCCAAACAGTATTTACTTGGCGCCATGTGTTCAAGTACAAATACTTAAGTATGCTAAAAAATAATATCATGATATTTTTGTGTGGCAATACCATTATTATCACACAGACGCCAAATATTGTTTGTTTTTTTATTATATAAATTAATAATATTACCTTTGGTAGCTTACTAGAATAATATAATCAATTGCTTTTCCAGTCCACTAGATACATTTTGCTGCAATAAAAATGGCTGAAATGAGATGAACAGACTGATAACGTGATATTGTAAGATAAGACTGATGTTGACAAAGTTTTCCTTTGGGGACTCTTCTTGCAGTTGAAAAAAGGTAATAAATTGCACTATATCGCAGTATATTTTATTGCAATACTCACCATATTGCAACACCTTGAAAATCGCACGAATATTGTATCGTGACTTAAGTATCGTGATCATTTTGTACAGTTGGTAGCTACTAGCTGCTGTATACAAATCATGTTTTTATGCACATTGCTATAAACTACACATTTGAACACATCTTAATGTACTGTTTGGCATTCAGTATGCAAGAAATTAATTTAAAAATTATAGATATTATAGTTTAAAACAAAGGTCATTCAAGTAATACAGTTTAAATGTGTATTTTTTGCTTATTATCATAATACAGTGCATTGCATCACCACGGCTAGTGTGTCTGTTAACAGCACACCGGATTGAAGCGGCTCTCATGCGCAGTCAGAGCCGACTCATGAAGTCAGCAGTCAGAAGATTAAAACGTTGAAACAATAAATTAAATTATTATTGTTCTCATTTTGTTTTAATGTATTTATCATTCACATTCATGATCTGACCCACAGGTTCTATTTTTTTCACCCAGAAATAAAGTTTAGACAAAATATCAGCTGCAAATCACCGTTTTGGCCGGCCACCTGCTGGGTACCCGACCTGATGCAGGTCCAGCCCGCAACTTTCCTCATGCTCTCCAAGCACAACTTCCACCCAAAGCAGGCAGCTGTTTTCAATGGAAATGCTCTAAAACAAACTTACTGTACACTACCTGCTCAACACCAAATGAGAAACAGACACAGTGGCTGCCCCCAAGTGGTTAAAAAAAGAAATCAGTTGTTGCGGGTTTAGCAAATAACACGTGTGAGCCGGTTGATATCAGTTAAATGGTGATTTTGAAACTCACAGTTACACATTTGGTAATTTGTTTAAAAAAAGTTAAATGCAAAGATTTTTCCTTCAATATATTCCTGGAATAATTAGTAGGAAGCTTCTCATTTTTTTTGTTTGCATTGCATTGTGGGATATTATTGTCCATCATTGTGACAAACAAGCAACCAACATGTTAGATGTACACAGAATTTGTCATTTAATACTCACTACATACTCAGTTTCTACTGAGTCAGCACACTAAGTGGGAGGACAGTATATGATCTTTCTCCTCCACAGTGCCCTCTGGTGGAGAAGCTGTCCACCAGTCACCAAATCCAAAACACCACTGACAAACAGATCACTGATGCAGGCATCTACCTGCGTGTGACTGTATTTGTGAAGATGCACCGACCGCATATTTGTGTGTGTATGGATATACATGTGTGTGTGCGTGTGTGTGTTTGTGCTGGCTCTATAAACCTTAAAGCTGGCTTTCCATATATCTGTAATCTTCTGCTGTATTTCATTTTCTTTTTATCCCTCTGAAGATTTGTCCTCGACTCCAGCTGTGGCCCTTGTTCAGAGCAGTATGTATCACTGCCTGCAGCCGCGGCACTTCGCTAACCTAGAAGTAGTGGTAGAGATAGACAAGGTTGTAGGTGTGTTGGCGTAGCGAGTAGCTGGCCGTAGCTTCAGTCAATGTTTGTCCTTTGTACAGATATAGCTCAGGTAATTGCTGACTGTCAGGCAGACGTCTCTTTGTCATAATGTGACAATTTCAGTTTGACTTTGCCATTTGTTATGTAGGCCTCACTGCAGTTACACTGTGTTTACTATCACTTGTACTTGCGCAGATACTTCCATTAATCCAGTTTCCCTGGTTGCTCTAACAATCCTGCCTTCATGTAGTCTATAGAGCTCGCTTGTTGCACGATATAGAGTATTAGACCCGACAGCATTGCAGCAGAATTCTAACATCTGAGGCTTCTCTTTCATTTCAGGCCACAACTGCTCTCTCTCCTTTCCCAGCTCTATCCCAGGCAATTCTACTCATCCTCCTTTAGGTATATAGCTCACACTGACACATGTACAGCCAATGAGATCCCTGTGATCTCATCTTGATGTACCTTCAACTTTCAACTAACAATGGCATTGGAGACATAGAGTCGTTTCAATCTATTCTGATATTCGCTCATGGTGGGGGGGTGTCAGGAAATGCCAGCTTTGCTTTGCTAGACGGAGTGAAGACTAGATGTCACTCCCGCCCACGTTCTCTATATCTACCCTTTATGAGCCAAAATCCAGCTCCACTCAATTAAGTCTGGGCCCCAGTGTTGCCTTTTGAACTGTCGTCTTGAAGGGTTTCTGCTAGCTGCACTGTTCTCAAGCTGCGGGGGGAAACCTATTTGCCTCTGCTAATCCTCTTTGCCTGCCTCCTTTCTCCTTTTCTCTGTGCCTGTCTGTGTTTTCCTTTCCTCCTTATTTCCCCCCCCCCCTATTTCTTCTCTCTTTATCAGTTCCAGCCCTGTTGAACATAAGCTCTTATGTGAGTGACACCTTTGCCAAAATCAGCTGGACTGCCAGAGAGGAGCAGCAGGACTCGGAGCTTTATGTGGCTTATATGAATAACCGTAAGCTACTTTTCCTGTCCCCGCCTTGCTAAACATTGATAGGAATTTTTAGGTGGCATCGTGTGTAGGTGCAAGTGGGAATGTTTTATATAAACATCTAAAAATATATTATAAGCCTAGCGTCTGCATGGCTACTGTACTTCCATCATTTCCATGATTGCCTCAACTTGATGCATTTCAAGTTATATTTAGTACAACAAATATATTTAATAGTTCAAGAAATGTTAATTGCCTGGCAGCAGCTCATCCTATCTTCTTTGTTCTTTCAATTGCATGAATGCTAATACAGACTTGCTGCTTGTGCACTTCTTGTGCTTGGCTGTGTAGGTGATGGTAACTGGCGGATTTCAGATGCTGTAAACGCTTCTCAAAGTTTCCACGTAATTGATGGGCTCAAACCTGGGACCGTGTATACCGTGCGCCTCATGGCCAAGAGGCTGCTCGATAACGCTAGCATTTTTGAAGACGTTATCCAGACAAGAGTCAAAGGTGAGAGGAGAGAAAGGTGTCGTAGTCAATAGAACGTAGTGATTTGAGCTCTAACCTGCCATAACAGTACAACCATATCATTGACGAATAGATGTGGTCTGTGGTGAATGTGAGTTTATTTATTTTCCTTCCATCTTTCATTTGCTCTTTTCCTATCTAATGTTCTTTCAGAGGAGATAGAGTGCTATAGCTGAAGGGAATGTGAGTCAAATACGACGTGAGAACATCCTCTCCAACTAGAATCCATCATGTTTTTCCATTTTCAGTCAAAGATAAAGTTGTATGAGGAGCGCTTGAGGGGACTGTCATCCTCAAATAGACCACTGTGTTAAGCAGATTATTGAGCTCTTGTTCCCCCCCCCCCCCGCTGCTTTTGTTCCCAGGTGCGGTAGGTCAGCGGAGTGACTTTTCCACCCAGGGCTGGTTCATTGGGACCATGTGTGCTGTGGCTCTCCTCACACTTGTCGTGCTCATGGCCTGCTTTGTGAGGAGAAACAAAGGTGGCAAGTATGCAGGTACGCCGCCGCCGACCCAGCGACGAGACATATTCTCCATGGAAAAAGGTCAGTTAGTCTTTGACCGGGGTTGGGTCCCTTTGTCGTCTCGTTTCAGGAAGTGAACCAAAATTCAACTCATGTAATGTACATGTAGAAGATATATGTAAGTCTGACTTTGTTATTAGTAGTTTAATTATCTAAAATAATCTTTAAGCATCACCTGTTTAATAGGACGACACTTTGATTTGACTTTTGATATAATTTTGGTTGACCTCCCGAAAGAACGAAAATGTGCAACGGGCCTCAACCCTGACTCCCCCTCACCCCCTTTCGGAAATGAATTATGCATGCATGTTGGATAACTATGCATGCTAACTCTGCCAAGCCCAATATTATTAACCCCAAATGAACCCTCCACGAGATCTTTCCAGCAACCGTAGGTTTACTGCATTGTGGAATAATTTGTGTGGTCCTGTTAGTTCTGCTCGGTACCTCTGATTACAGACCTTGTCAGGCCAGACGAGCGGGCCAGCTGGCTTTGTTCCACAACTCCCAACCCCTCACCTGTGCAGACCTTCCTGCGCCTTTGTGCTGTCTTGTATCAGAGCCAAATTCAGTCTCACAGTAGTACCTACCTGCAAAGTGTCTCCTCGCTCACACTTTCTTTCCTCTCAACCTGCTTTCTCGTCTTCTCTCCACCACTCCACCTCTTTGCCTGCAGTAGCTTTTGACATGAAGCACTGAATATTTCATCAGCTCCTTTGGATTCCCCCTTTGCCCATCTAGCTCTTTTCATGAAACCCCTCTTTTGTCTCTCTTGAAAGCAACTGGTATTTTTTAAAGCATATTTACACAAAGAGCTGCCGTGTAGCACTTTGGGCAGACAAACAGGAGAGAGGCTTTAAGTGTGCAGACTTGATAGAATGTTTACACAGTCATATTTAGTTTCTCTCAAAAGCCTTTCAGTTCAGATTTTGAAATTCAACTTTTATATATACTCAAGTGATGTAAAAGTTCAGATCACTTGTTCTTGTTCACCTGCTGAGCATGAATGTTTTGCTGTTGCTTTAGTTTCAAAGAACTGTCTGAGAGAAAATCACTGAGGCTGACTAAAATCAACAAAAGCTGGATCTGCTGTTTGAGTGGTGTCCGTTTTGAAAATGTTAAAGACAAATCTTTATTAATTTAAAACATTACAAATGATGTATGTAATATGTAATAACATGTATGGATGAAGGCGCTGCTTTTCATAGTGGTGCTGAAATGTCTGTTCTGCTCCCCTGCAGTGAAAGAGAAGGAGGACCTCCACCCTGATTTGGAGTCACAAGGAATGAATGATGACACCTTCTGTGAATACAGGTGAGCCTTGCTTCTGCTCTGCAGAGGAGAGCCGCAGTGCCAAAGTGTGCTGAGGAAATGACACTCTTTTTATCTCCTGGAAATGCATTGCGCTGTAGCAATATTAATCTAACAACCATATGTTAAATGTTTTCCAACTGAGAAGCTCATTTGTCATGTGTCACAGTAATGTTTTTCTCTCCCATCCCAAAAGCAAACCATGCATTCATGAGCTTTACGAGGATCAGCCTAGAAGCCATTGTTCTCGTCATTTATTGGGCTAGGTAATCACACGGTGTAGTTAAGAGTAGTGGGCAACAAAACCTGTGCTGTGCTCCCCTTTAGTTGCTTTTATGTTGTTGTCAGATTTTGATTTAAGTGTGTGAATCAACTTGCTCCCATAGACATCAGTAGCTTATTTTGTGTGTTGCTGTGTGCATCTGCATGTATATATGATATCAGATTTTCGTACTTGCGAGCTAACGTTTTCGGCATTAGGGTTTCGCTCTCATCTGTTATCTCCTCTGACTAAAATTAGGGAAATTAGGGTATATATTAGGGTTGGACCTTCTTTTGCCTTCAGAACGGCCTTATTTTCTTGGTGGCATAGATTCAACAAGGTGCTGGAAACATTCCTCAGAGATTTTGGTCCATATTGACATGATAGCTGCACATCCATGATGTGAATCTCCTGTTCCACCACATCCCAAAGGTGCTCTATTGGATTGAGATCTGGTGACTGTGGAGGCCATTGGAGTACAGTGAACTCATTGTCATGTTCAAGAAACCAGTTTGAGATGATTTGAGCTTTGTGACATGGTGCGTTATCCTGCTGGAAGTAGCCATCAGAAGATGGGTACACTGTGGTCATAAAGGGATGGACACGGTCAGCAACAATACTCAGGTAGGCTGTGGTGTTTAAACCATGCTCAGTTGATACTAAGGGGCCCAAAGTGTGCCAAGAAAATATCCCCCACACCATTACACCACCACCAGCAGCCTGAACCGTTGATACAAGGCAGGATGGATCCATGCTTTCATGTTGTTTACACCAAATTCTGACCCTACCATCTGAATGTTGCAGCAGAAATCCAGACTCATTAGACCAGGCAACGTTTTTCTATCTTCTATTGTCCAGTTTTGGTGAGCCTGTGTGAACTGTAGCCTCAGTTTCCTGTTGTTAGCTGACAGGAGTGGCGCCTGGTGTGGATTAGCTTTTTGTGTTAAGGAACAGGTATAACAGGTTGAACACGTACAAATATATAAATTTATATATGTGTATATGTATATATCTATATCTATATCTCTCTCTATACATACATACATACATATATATATATATATATATATATATATGACACACAAACATACAAGACACGACTTACATTACCTTCAGAGGCAAAAGGAAACACAAAAAAGCAAATCAATGCATGGTGCTGTATGCATGTGTCAAAAACATGATATCAGATAGAAATATAGCTAATTAAATACACAGCTCGCGTATGTTGATAAAAGTACAACATGAACTACTTCCATGAAAGCAGAATGTACAGATCTGTTTGGGTAGATACATAGACTACACACACACACACACACACACACACACACACACACACACACACACACACATACACTCTCCTGTCAGGTTCTTGAAAGCAGTGAAAATGATTTTCTCTGGCTCTTAGCATTTTCAGATAATATCTGATAGTAGAATGTGTGATGTTAAGAATACATAATACGAGACAAAAAAATCATCCAATATGGTGATACTGTACAAAACAAAAACTGACCAAAGGTGAACTTTGACATGCAAGTTTAGATAGTTAGATAATTAGTTTGCAAGTAACACAAGTAAGTAAGTAAGCTACTAACTTAGTTGTCCACGTCATGTTTCCTGGAGTGCTGGAGCTCTCACCGAAACAGAAAACATGTAACTAAATTTAGCAGTTGCATTGGTTTTACTTGAAGTGAATGACAGGACACAGCAAAAAAGATTGGTGGTAGCGTGACTACACTTTGCAAAACATTTCTCAGACAACAGCTGTAATGCTCTTAATTATTTAAGCACTTCTATCAGCTGCCTGCTGAACCTATTAAGGTTATGTTGAAGCACCTGTAATATAGAAATGTGTTTAAGGAGCCTGGATGTTAGGGCAACATGAGATGCTACTCTGTTGCTGAAGAGCCTCTGCGTACCTGGTGATTTGACAGATGCAGATTTACCTTTACACCCTCCTGAGTCACCTCATGAATTAGAGGTTATGGTGTGTAATATCTTCAATACAGGCCACACTTTTAATTGCTATAGAAGCTTCCAGTGCAGACACGCAGGTTGACTCTAGATGTAGAGTAATTGCTGATGGTAAATATCTTACACTCAGTGAAACAGGCATAGACTAAGCATGGCAAATGGGCGGAAAAACTGAGCCTTTAAGCCCGAAGCAGACAGCTGTTGTACTTTATAATAGCTGTTGAATTTCCATTGTTTGCATTGTTTAGCTGCTACAGTGACAGTTTAGGGAAATCAGCTCAATCCTATTTTGCTTGACAGCACTGCAGCAACTGTGTGACAATGGCGTGTTTGTTTGTGCACACGCAAAAGAAATCACCTAAAATAGCCTCTTCTGTCCGCTTTGATTCCATTCGTCATCATATTATTCAGAACATGATTACTCACAACTGTGTGGTCGCTGCCAATTGCCTTCCTATGATTCTTGCCAAGACTATAATTCTGTTGAACAGGAAGGAATGCATTGTCCACATCCCTGTTTATAGATCTTACAGCTTAAAGATGTAATAAGTAAGTTTTTACTGTCCCATAGCTCCAATTGACTGTTTGTGTGGGTGAATAGCGTCGTTGATTGATACCAGTGACTCGATGATTGCTGGGCAGATGCTGAGGCGGCTTTTCAGACACACTTTAAGTACTGTTTTCTGTGAGGTTAAACAAAAATGGATATTCACACAGTGTATGAAAGAGAACTGTCATCCATCAATGTTCAAGCTCATACATTTTAGTGTTTAAATATACTAGGTCGTTGGAGGCAGCAGTCACTGATTGTCCAAAAAGAAACAAAAGCAGATACTCCATATGCAGGTGGGTTTAGGTGTCGACCAGTGAACGTGACAGCTGTGCATCACTCACAGGTCTACCACACAGGTAATACACTGTCGCAGCATCACTGACGCACACGTCAAATATAAACCAGTTACTGCTGCTGTTGATGAACACATCTGGTCGGTAATCGGCAGGAGGATGATCTGACATTCGCTCTGTCACGCGTCTTTAGTAACCTGTAGTTCATGTATCACTGAACTGTGTCGCTGTGAGCTGACTGGGTTATCATTATGTTGTTGGTCAAAATGCACACACGGAGTGCGTGTTGTTTGTTGCACAAGGTCCTTGCTATCCACTGTGCACCTGCTTGTTAAATTGTAGAACTGTAAATACTGAAATTGCAGAGAAATACTTACTGTTTCATGTGTCATGTGTGAGCATTTGGATACAAATAGCAGCAGTTTTTTTGGGAAGCTTTTGCTGTCATTTCTCTTAGATAGGGTGACATTTTGCTCACCAATGTAATTGCTGGCACTTAAATTTTGCAATACACAGACGCTGTCACAGCAAAGTCCAACAGGGAAAGAAACACAAGCACATTGTAAACAAGCCAGCAATTCAGCCGGCTTATCCAAGCTATTTAATTTGGAGGTAAAACCGAAAGTGGGAGCACCAATAGTGTTGGTAATGATCCCTAATTGCACTGGAAATGTGTGTGTGTGTGTGTGTGTGTGTGTGTGTGTGCACAATATAGTGACTATGTTCCGTTGAAATTGCAGGAATTCTGTCTGCAAACAGCAATGGATGTTTTTAATCGGTAGTTTGGGTAATTATTTTACTATTCACTTATGTTTTCACTTCCAAATCAGTTTGGCTAAGATTGGGATTTGTTCAAATCATTTCACTACTTATGTTGGTTGCCTTATTGGTTTTTTATGCCTCTGTGGCTGGAGGCATTATGTTTTCGGATTGTCTGTCTGTCTCATTCTCAAGAACATGATATCTTAACACCTTGAGGGAATTTCTTCAAATTTGGCACAAATGTTCACTTGGACGCAAGAATGAACTGATTAGAATTCGGTGGTCAAAGGTCACTGTGACCTTACATCTGTCTCATTTTCGTGAACATGATATCTCAACAACACCTTAAGGAAATTTCTTCAAATTTGGCACAAACATTCACTTGGACGCAAGAATGAACTGATTATAATTTGGTGGTCAAAGGTCAAGGTCACTGTGACTTCACAAAACACATTTTCTGGCCATAACTCAAGAATTCTCACATTAGTGATGACAAAATTTTACACAATTGTCTAACAGGATAAAATGATGAAGTGGTGACATTTTACATCCAAAAGCTCAAAGGTCAACTTCAATTTGACACCATAATGTTCTGTAAAAACACCTTTCTGCTCAATATTCAGCACCATATCTCAGAACTGAAGGGGAGACAATTGATCAGATACTGAGTTATTAACACTAATCTTAAGTCACCTTGAAACTTCGGTGTTGTATAGATCTTCTGTGCTGCTGGGTTGAAGATGTGTGTGAGGCATCTGTTTTATATGCAGCTTCTTTTCAGCAACATTTGAAGCATTAGCAACAGTTATGGGCACATATGAGTCGGGGCAGACATGGAGGTACACTGTACCTGCAAATTGACTTCAGTCTATTTTCTTAGATCTCAACAATTATGGTGAGCAAACTTTTTATTTTTGTATTGAGGTTCTGGCAATACTTACATATACTGGCAGTCAAGGGTGAAATTTTCAATTAGACACTGGGAAGGACCAACCCAGCTATATACATATATATATATATATATATATATATATATAGTTTGAAATGGGGGAACAAAAAAAACATAATTAGATTTTGGGTGTAGAAAACAGCATAATAACTGGGTGGACCCTGTATGAGAATATAAAAGAATAATCATTATAATCGGGATTGGACTTCGCCATTTGGCCCCCAGCTATGTTGTTACTATTCTATTTTATTCTCCTCTAAAATAACTTACAAAAGGCCCCCAAAGCTCCCTCAAAGGAAAGAAACTATATATTTGTACTTCAGAGGAAAACATTGTACCGCGACAATTACCTTTAATTACAGATAAATGTTACTGGTTATGTTAAAGTATCAGATTTCTCAAAAAATATAACAATTAAAATATGATGCATTATTATTTATTAAACTATCCAGCATTAAATAAGGATTAGAAGCTCCACCTTGAACAGTACATTTAACTACATTCTGCTAATAATACCTCTCCTGACTGCAGGACTTTAACTTTTGCTGTGTGCTATTAATAGTTTTAATGAAAAAAAAAAAACTACCAACATTCCCAGGTTTGGGAAAGTTTCACCCAAGGATGAAAATAAAGCAAGGCACTTTGTCTGGGGCCCCAGACCCTCAGATCACTAAATCCGCCCCTGGTAATAATAGCAAAAGCTCAGCACAGAGTCGCTGGATGAAAGGAGCGAGACCGAGAATTGTGTCTTTGTATTTATAAATAATTCCATTTAAAGTCTGACTATAACTGAAACTTAAACAAGGTAGTCTATAGAAGTTTAAAGACACTTTGGTGCTGTGTGAAAAGCTCACAGCCAATCTGCTCTGGTTGATCAGCTGTATGATCAGTGATCAGTGCAGCCCAAAAATGTTTTTTTATTTTTTTTTATTAAGCCTTCTTATTTTTGTCAGTTGCTGAAAACAGTAAAATCTCTCAGGCTTAGTTTGGCTACTTGGGGTTAGACAGGACTGTGCAGCCTGAGTTGCACTCAGGTATCCAAATATGCACACACAGTCTGTATACAGGCATGTTTCTTAAAACAAAACAATAAGTATTTCTGTGCATTTTAAGTATTAACTCTTTAACCAGCAGCTGCATGTTGGATGTTCAGTAAAACACAGGACACAGAATGGTCAGGACTGTGCACCACAGACAGCACACACTGTGTGTGTGTGTGTGTGTGTGTGTGTTTTGACCACCAACATAATGGTTACCATGGTCAGTTCACAGCTACACAGTTCAGCACTATCACCTGACTGTTTTATCTCAGCTACCTTTTCTTTTTTGCTTTTGTGTTCAGAAAGCCACAGTGCTTATTAGAGATTACACACATAAGCTTCAACCTGTATCGATGGATGACAATTATTTTATTTTTTATTGTTCCAACTGGATTTTGTTGGTTCCCCCCTAATGTCTGACTGAAGATTTCACCCCTACTGATGGAAGACCCTGGAAAGTACAAAATTATGTTGTCCTAATCAGTAAAAATCATACCATCGATTTTAGCTCTGATACCTTGTTTACAGGCAGAAGAAGCTCTCCTAATATGAGTTTGTGAGTTGATGCAGATGTTTGGCTTCAACTACCTGATTAAAATGCCTCTCATGGTCGGTTTCATGAGGCTGTTCTGACTGTTGTCCCCCCAGAGTGCCCTTAGCCTTACCATGATGTTGCTTTCCTGGCTTTAGAGCTGGATTCAGGGCTCTCTTGTGCCCTTTGAATCTCTGACGGCAATAGACCACCCACTGGTATGCCACGTGTCTGGGGAGCTGACAAGTAGTAATTATGCTTCAGATGATTTCTCTTTGGAGACAGCCCTCTGCTGCCTTGCTCCTCTGTCCACCGCAAGAACAGCAGGTGTCATAGCCGGAGTCGACTGTGATGCGATATTTCCCACAGATACTTTATCTGCTATTGTATTTTGATTTTTTATTATTTATGCAATTAAGGAGATGGCAGCAGATGCGGCAAAGGTTTCCTCCAGACACCTTTGAACTAAATAAATGCAGCTTCAGGTGTGTGAGTGGGGGGAAAAAAATCCTGCTACCACCTGACGTTTCTGTGCTGCCCCCAAACCAAGTCAGCATGGGTCAATGGCAAGACAAATTTAATTACCTTCTGCGTGGTGATGTGCCTCCATCTCTCACCTGTTTGTGAGGCTGAAGGAAAGCCTTTTCACAGCAACAGCTGAGGCTGAGCTGGATCCCGACCAAGGTCCTGAATGAGAGCTGGTGTTCAAAAGCCCTCAGCCCCATTTTATCACTGTATTCAAAGTCACTGTGGGCGGGCTGCGGCAGCTATGGCATTCCACTGCTCTTAGATAACAGCCACTTATCTTCAGCGCTCTAGAGTCGTCAGAGAAAGAAGGTTTGATAAGAGTTGAAATGCGGACCTTGTGTGGCTTGCATGGTAAACGGCCTCATGAAATAGGATAGATAAGATTGGTTATTAAAAATCCCCGTGAAGGAGATCTGATTTGTAATCTTAGTTTGAACTGTGTCTCTGCTCTAAAATGCTGCTCAAAATGCCGAGCTTGTATTTGACACAGGTGTCAACTACAGTACGCCTCAAATGGCACTATCATATACCAGCCACCTGAGCGTCGTCTCTGAACACAGACGCTCTGTGTTATGAATACTAAACCAAAGGAGGGAGAACGAGAGAGGTGTTACCAAACATGGACGGTTTAGGGAATTAGAAAGGAGGACAGGGAGGAAAAATATCCTCAGTGTTTTGAGGTGACCCTGCGTCTTGTAGTGAGACACCTGTGAGTTGGCCACTTGCCCAGCCTCAAATTGGCATCTAATCTCCTCAGTCCGCGTGTGGGCCTCTCGGGAATACCAGGAATGACAGGCTGTTTGTCTGGGATTGCATATGCCCCACCCCCCTTCTCCTTTTCTCAATCTCAGCCCCCTACCTTCCTCCAAACACACACACACACACACACACACACACATATACACATACACACACCTCCCACTCGTCTTCTTTCTCACAGCACTCTGGCAATTTCCATCGCTGGTTCTAAAGAGATTTGAAATTGCCTTTGGTCCTGAAGCCTTGGCAATTAGCAATTAGTGAAGTGATTGTAGCAAGCCCTCCCCGCCTCCCTTGTGCTCCCTTTCCTGCTGTGCAGCCTCTGCATCCATTCCTGCCTACCACCCGTAGTGATGTATTGAAACCATAAGAACTCTCTTTGTGGCTAGGCATGTGTTTGTGTGTGTGTGATAGTTCAGCCAAGCATTTACTGTAATAGTCTACATGAGCTGTGCAGGTTCTGTGTGCTGGTGTTTCTGTGTATGTGTGGTTTTATGTGATACTGAGCCTCATGCAGCCACATTCTCTTAACTTTCTCCTATTTTATGTTAAGAGAAAATAAGACAAGTCAACTCCAGATGCACCGAATGTTCTTCACCATCTGCTTTTACTTAGATAAGCTGAATGATGAATCCCACTTGATCATGAATAGGAGGGGCGTAGCCGGTAACGCCCCCTAAATACTATATAGGGGCAAGTGTTGTGCCTCATGCAAATTCTCTGTGGCACATGCCCAAGAATTGCAGGGAGATGCCACCAACACAAGGCTGTAAGAAAAGGAACATCAGCAGTAGTTTTCCTTAAATTTAAAACGTATGGTTCCTTTCATTGGGCTAACAATTTAGGGACTGTTTACACAAGATGTCGTTCTCTTATCTTGGTAAGGCCGGAGATGTGCTTGCTTGTAGCTACGTGCTCGCTTGTGCATAATGGCTGCCTTGTGTATACTGCTTCTGTTCCGAGTGTTGGTTGTACACATCCTCAGACATCAAGGCTGAGATGTAGTACGCAAGTGAGTGGCAGGGATAGTGTGAAAAACATACTCGCCATTGTCACGGCAAGCTTGATTTAGGGGCCTTACATACTGTCTACAGTGGCGCCACTGTCTCTTTTTCTGCCGTCATTTCACAATTAAGAATAAAGTAACCTCCTTGGGTGTTGCCAGTGGTCACTAGTGTCGCCATATATATTGTTTACATCATGCAAACTCTTTCCCTGGATTGCCCTCCATGGAATCCTCCAGCAACATTTGTAGTACGTAAGCAATTCTGCTCATGACGCAGCCAGTTGTCTACACAAATGTGTGTTTAAACAGCAAGTATATCTCCGGCCTTAGAGAGCTCTCAACTAAAAAACCTAAGAGAAGCTCAAATAGAAAACATTGGTGAATCCCAGAAATCAAAGGATACTAACACAATAAGAACAAATAAAGGATACAAACAACAAAAATACGAGGAAATGTGTTTGCATAGGTTCCTGCATGAGGCCCGTTGTGTATGTGTGCTTGTGTGTCAGCCTCTTAGTACCATCAGCGTTGCTTCTGAACATATGCACTGCACCACTGACCCTAACTATCCCTCTCTGTTGTTGTTGATGGCAGTGACAGCGAAGAGAAGCCACTGAAGGGCAGTAGCTTGTGTTCCCTGACTGGTGATGGCACGCTGGGGGACAGCGTCAGCAGAGACAGCCTGGTTGACTACGCTGACGGCGGGGGAGAATTCAATGAGGACGGTTCGTTTATTGGAGAATATTCCGGACGCAAGCGCGGAGGCTCTGTTAGCGAGCCCGGTGGACCCAGACCAGTCACTGCATAAAGCTAGGCTCCAGTTGAAACGGTCTACTTCAAATCCTTTCAAGATACTTTTTAAATTCAGCTTCCCTGGCATTAAATATAGCTCCAATAGCCAAATATGTGGGAATAAAAATGACTCAGATGTGCAGAAGTGTTGCCCAGGGACTGAAAGGGAAGCATAAACCCACCATTCACATCAAATCCTGCGAGTCTTTGTACATACTGTAAGAGAATGACCTGTATCATTTGAGTTTTTCAAGATTTTAATATGATAATAAAATGTTTTTGTACCTATGAGCCAAAATCTTCAAGCTGTGTATATTGATTGTGTTCTTTCATAAAAGGCAGAAGATCAATAATTATTTCCCACAATATAAAAACACTGAAAATGTCATTGGGGCTTTTTTTGTTTACACAGTGGATGAGAACAACACATACAGTAGAAATACATATGCGTCTACAGCCTGTGTTCATTCATTTATCCTAAACTGGAATCAATATCTAGTCATAAATGCTTTACTGTCCACAGGGGTGCCCCTAGAAATTTTCACAAGGGTGGCCAGATGGGGTCATTGAAAACCTTAGGGTGGCACACCAAAACCGTCGTAACTGAATTTCAGGAATTCGATAATTCTATTGAAGTATATAGGCTAGTGGAAAACATTGTCACTGTGAGAGTTATTTTACAGTTACTATTACTAATTATCTGCTGTGTGTAGACTAACTGTGCGTTCACACCAGAAGCTTCCAAAGAGGCAAAGTCTGTTGCAGACGCCCAAGAAGCACGACTGCTCGCTCTTGTTGCTCATCACGTGAACCGTTGAACGTTCAATCGTGCTTGTCAATTTAAAGGAGCTGCAAAGCGGACTACTGGCTTGAAAGCAGCACAGTTGCTGTTTGCTGTTGTCCAGTCAAAAAGCTCATAGTTGGCCTACATAAAGTTATGTTTGGTCAATGAAAACCGAAAACGTATGTCATCCCATTCAAACCAAGCAAGGAAGACTTGCATGCTGAAATTCTCTCCTTTATTACTAACATTACACACTTTAAAACTCACCAGACCAACCAACTACCTCCACGACGCGGTCCCAAGCCTCATTTTTTTTATTTTGGTCTCTGTAACCGAACAGCGACACCTTATAAACGACTGAGTGGGTGTGAACGCAAGTAATAAACTTCTCAATATCCATTGTCAGAACAAGTGAGCTGTAGGAACCAAAGTTACATGGCTTGTTCTCTGGGGCCCGCTTCATCGAAGCACGTCAGCATTCCGATTGGTTGCCGCCGAACTGCGTCAGAGCTCATTACCATAAAGTTAAACAAGTTTTAACTCCCCTCCGGACCACTCCGGTCGCTTTGATTGCCCAAGATGCGCAGCTGACAACCAGGTCCCCCAAGACGCCAAGTCGTTGGAACAAAACAATGACAGGGACCAAGCCTTCTCAAGTTTAGCGGGAGACTTGTGGGTAACCTAGAACCCATTTTCATTCAGTTACCTTGAGGTGAGAGTTCTGGGGCCAAACTTTGGAGCGTTATGATAAGCCATACTTGCCAACATTGGGTTGTGAAAAATACGGAGATTTTTTTCATCGGTGTATAGGCCCAAGGAACAAGGTTCCTTCGCAGGGTGTGCATATAATTGTCGTCACAAGGAAACTTGTTCTGAAAATGTTGTTTCTTTGATATTCAATAAATGATTCTGTTTACCATTGATGACAATGAAAAAATTAGCAGTTTTAATTGTTGAAATGAGTACCAGAAGGCTAAATAATAAGGCGGTTACACTGCAATGCATTTAGTATGCAGTATTTATTGCACATCAAATTAAAAAGTGTGTGCCACTGACTGTGCCACCCTCGGAGAAGTGTCATGCCAAGGCCACACCGCCTGCGGAAGCGCTGCGAATAGCCTCGGAGCGCCTCGAAGCGAAGCCAGTTTCCTTTTGGTGCACGTGTTAACCGATTGTGTCATCCACACCGGCTGCGCCATGCCACGCAGCTCCGTGGCTCCGTCGTTTCGGAGTCTGGTCTATTTTCTGTGCGAGCCACGAGCGAATGTGTCAAGCCGGGTGATGGAGACAACAGCTGGGAGCAGAACCGCTTGTCGACCAGCGTGGAGAAATGCGTGTCTGATGTGAACGGAAGATTAGCGGGAGAAATTACTGACCTGGAGCATCGCGGGAGATAGGGTTAAAAATCGTGAGTCTCCCGCGTGAATCGGAAGAGTTGGCAAGTATGTGATAAGCTAGGCCAACACATTCTCACTCCAACCTCGTCACATATCGCCATTTGGTCATAGACTTTCTAAGTCCAGATACATGGGCAAGGTACCACGGATATGTTGGTTGTCGACGTTCTAGGACGATGTGTCAAGTTCTGTCTGTTACATGCATTGTCTTCTTTCAAAATAATAGGAAATTTACCGCCTACATACAGTCTCTTTCAAAATAAATGTAGTATGTCTGTACAACACCGCAAATTTACTTATTTTTCCTTCAGCAGCAAACACACATGATTGGGTGTAGGCAACAAAAGCATGTGGTTAGGTTTAGGTTAAAAGATCAGGGTTTGGCTTTATAATCTTACAGGACGCGAACACAGCTCTCGCGGGTGAAGGTCGGTGTTTGTTGTTAAACTATAACAGCGACCAGCCGCGTATCATGCTGACGTGAAAGGATGTCTTTTTTCATTGTTGTTTGATGCCACAAGTCACTGCCCAAGCGCTAGATTTCAACGACTTTGGAGTGAGACCGGGTTGGCTATGCCGATATATTACATATTATATAATATATAATATATTGCCTGGTTTGTACTATCTTAAAAAAAATAGTGCACCACAGCCTATTAAAGAGTAATTAATGTCAGTCTTGAATTATTTTGGGGGCGCCACTGTCTGTCCATCACTGTATATGTTTCAGATTTATGTTAATATGAAAATGTGAAAGTTGATGAATTGTTTATAATCAAAATGCTGATGATATTTGCCCTTGATAACCGATTATATCATCATATCAAACACACACAAGTTTTTTTCTTGCTGGTTACATTAAACAGGAGACGACAACTTAAACAAGATATCCATGAATCAAACTCCTCCAGCCATGGAATTACAGCAAGGATATATAAGTTGTTTAGCGAGAAGGTTAAAGTGATAAGTGTATTGCTGCATTTATCTCTTGAGTGGAATCATGATACATTTATTTAAGGAACTTGTCAAAACTCTAAATTGGGAGGCTTTCACCTTAGGGACCCAGTAATGAAGAGGAAGTTTTGAAGCTAAAGCAATTTGTCATACTCCCACTTGTTTTGTACTTTTTTAATCACGAGCCTTTATTCTGCTGGATATCACGGAATGAATCACTCTACATTCCTTTAAAATGATCAGGCAGCTGGGCTATTTATTATGTGGAAATTATTAATGTTGGGTACTTCCTCACAGTTTTTATTTAAACTTGGTGCAATGATTCATCAGTTTCTATTTGCTGCTCCTTTTCTGTAATTTGAAAAAGCACCCACTTATATGGTAAGTTCACACTTCCAAGTTAAGATGTCCCTCCACTGAACATAAAAATGTGAATATATTATATGTGAAGAAAAAAAAAATCCTGTCTCAGTGCTCAGCTATTTACAAAATTATACAGAAAAATTTGTTCACAAACTGAGCACAAAGCGAAATTGGCATGATACAAACATGGCTGAATTAAGCTTGATGTTCTCAAAGGTCAAACACATTTCAAATCCCAAAAATATTTTTCCTGTTATCTCCTCAATACATGCAGTGAATCCTCACATGCATTATGCATATTGCTAAAATATTCATCAAGGATATAACTCAAGTAAAGTTGAGATTTGTCCAATCCAACAATCTTACTTAAACAGATGTAATAACACAGCAGCGCCGGCTACAAAGTGCTAAATGTTTTATTGGCTAGAGGCTTATTTTTTTTATGTTTAAGATCCAACTCCGAGACCTCTTTAAAAACAAAGATTCTTAACAATCAAATAGATCCGGAGAGATGTATAACTTTGGCAAATCAGCATACTGTACTTTTGTATTTAAGTCAGAGGACATTTGGTCTATAGAAATGCAAACCCAAGAAACTTATACAACTAAACTCTATGAGCTGCTTTGAAGACATTAGAGGCAAAAATCCTCCCACACAGTAAACAACATGAGAAAACAATAGTCGGCACTAAAGAGAGTTTTCGCTGCAAACCAAAAAGAACAAAAGTGGTCATGCGGAAGAAAAGTTCAGCTATGAAATATAGTCAACATTGTAGTCAATCTCTTTTCCATTACTTGGTTCAGATAATTGGAGCCAGGTCCCATGGCTCCAATTATCTGAAACAAAGCAGTGCTCGCTCTCCCCTTCAATTTCTGAGGGGAAAATATAGCACCTTTGATGAGGCAGAAATCCCAGCTAACAAAGATGGGAGATGATCGACTCATCCATCATTCGGTGGGAACCTCTAAAACAGCCCCTCTAATTCACTCCATTATTTTTGAGCCTTTCAATAAAAAAGCTCAGCGGTTCAGAGGGAAGAGTTTTTTCCTCTTATTTACCATATTTGTTTGTCCCAGAACTCCAAAACAAACCGAAAGTGAACGACTGTGACAGAAGCAAAACATTTAAATTGATCATGCGCTCCGTGGCAGGAAGATGCATATAAGTACCCTCAGTCACAGTCTCAGCATTTCTTAAAGGACACACCATTATAAGACAACAATGCTTATTCTACTTTATTCAGCTTTGTTCAAATCCTCTCACTTCTGTCACTGGACTTCTCCCGTATCTCTAAAATACCTTGGAGGCCCTTATCATCCATTTTTAATACGTAGCCTCCTTGCAGCTGTAGTCTGTCTATAGCCGGGTGATTATAAATGGGAATTGTAGCCGTAATCAAACCAGACTTTGGATAGTGGAGTTGAAAAGCACTCCATGCCTCATGGCAAGATAAAGGTCATTTAAAGAGATAATCCCTGTATTGTCGGGGATTACGCCCTCATCCGTTTTAAAATTGCTTTCTCCGTGGAACGTTAAAACCTCTAAACAACAACAAAAGCTTTCTCTAGTCAAACCCCCCCCCCCCCCCCCCCCCCCCCCCCCCCCCCCCCCCCCCCCCCCCCCCCCCTCAAGTGTCACACAAGCAGCTTTTTTTTTACCCCGCTAAATCTATTTTGAGGACATGCAGGTGACCCTTTCATAAAAGTCATAATAACCCCGTTTTGGAGCGAGCAAAGGTCAGGACGCTTACATCACCTGAATCCATGTGAAATGGGACAGCTTTGTTTGCCGT